GGCTTCTAAATGTGTTTATGAACCCAGTGAGGATTGAATGAATAAGGGTCTACTCTCTCTCTCACCTCTCCACTGGTGACTTCTTTATCATTGACGATAAACCTGTAGGACACAGCGGAGGATAGTTTCACGGCCTGGAGCCAGAAGCGAACGTGGCCCTTCTCCAAGATCTCATAATTCAGGCCGTGCTTCAGAGGAACAACTGGAAAACAAAACACATTTTTAAATTTCAGATTCATTTTTTATCAATGATGTAGCCTTTTTAATTCAATCTGGGATCCAAAAAAATGTAAACCTAAATGTAAAGTGCTTTTTTAAATCTGGCTGCTTAAATCACATTAACTTTATTATTCAGAAAGTTGGATTTCATAAAGCCAATCACATCACTTACTTACATACAATGGATACAATGGATTAAAGAGAACTAAATATTTCAGTGTTGTTTTTTCATGGTGTCAGTAATTGTGAATAATCATAAAATCATGAGATTTCTTCTCACAATAATCATAACAGTAAAATGTGATATCGTGACATCTCTAATCTGTACTTTCAGGACTCACCTGGATGTCTAATGGCATAACTGAGCTCCAACATAGTGTTCAAGGCTGTGGACAAACAAGCACAATCAAGACTCATTACATACCATATTGTAATATATAATATTATGAAAAGTAATTAGATTAGATTATAGTCATGTGACCCGTAAACGCACCATCCTCAGTGAGGGTGTGGCTGGCGGAGACTCCATCGGTGTCAGTGACCACGACAGAGTATCGGCCCAGGTCGTCTTTGTCTGGGTTTGTGAACGTCAGTCTGGAGCTACAGAGAAAAAAACAAAATTAAAATGTTAAAATGATAATAACAAGTTCTGAAGATGGGAGTTTGTGTCATTTCATCGTAAAAATTTGGGATTCCAGGAGCTGTTTTTGTCATCATGTTATAAAGTTACATTTCTTTGGTCACAATATAGATATGTGGCTTTTTTATTGTTCAGGGATGCAGTAAGTAAGGCTGGTGCCCTGATAGTAGCCTAGCTGTTGAATAGCATTAGCATGGTGGCAAAACTCTTTGCTTTGGAGAGTTGTGAAACACGCTTAGAAACTCATCATGGTGAAAGCTAGAGATGCATTAATAAATTGAGGAATAACTTTGAACCCCTGCAAACAGTTTAAAATGTACGAGTTCATTGAGACATCATCAAAACAGCCAGTTGGTTTATTACACCTCTGTTTAACTGTTGATTTCTATGTTGATTTTAACATTTTGCCTTCTTACGTTCTTCCTTTGCTGCTCATGGACACTCGGGGGCACTCTCCGACCGGGCTGTAGTTTTTGGACCAGATAAACTTAGATGTCTCACTGATTTCACAGGCTTCAAGAGACAAAAAGATGTCTCCAGTCTCCTCATCTACTCCTACTTCAATCTCACGGGTTCCTGCAAAGCATCATTGTAAAAATGTAAACATACGTGAGTTATAATATAGGTTATCAAAGTAAATGTTAAAGATGCACAAGTATTTGTTCTGTTTCAAAGGACATGTTTTTGCTTTGTCTGGAAATTGCCAGCATGGCATTAAATGTATAGGTCTACACGCAGACAAGCAGGTACTGCTACCAGGCCAAGTTACAGGTCAGACCTGTGGAGAGGCGAGCCTGCTCACAGGGAGAATGCATATTTTTCATGGTATTTTATAATTTTATAATTTATAATATGATATAATACAATATAATATAATATAATATGATTATATTATATTATATTATCTAATAATAATAATAATAATGATAATATAATGATATGTGTTTCTACCTGGCAGAGCTTTGGCACACACTGGCTCAGACACCAGTGAAGCTTTTCCAATTCCACTGCTGTTGACGGCACGAACTTTAAACACATACGACTGACCCTCCTCCAATCCAGACACCTGTCATGGATATCCAAATATGTATGATTATTTAGACAAGAAGGTTGAAGAGCTGGAAGAGTCATTCAGTAAAACATTTTGTAAAGATATGATCTCATGATGCTGACGCTGGCACAAAGTGAAGTATGTCCAAATAATTTCCCTTGTGGATCAACAGAGTTTGTCTAAGTCTAAATCTAATGTGTGTAATGGCCTAACCCCTAGGCCACTTAACAGCATGAAGTTTTGAATAGTTGCAGCCACCTCAATTATTATTCATATGCCTTATTTGATTGATATAACATTAGATAGCATAAGATTGCACTTCTCATTGCTTTTTTCTTACAGTGTTCACTTTACAATGACACAGTTTATTTTTGAATGTCTTTCATGAATGAACTAAATAAATACCATAAATAAGTCATTATATCATTACTGTTGACATACCTGGAAGTAGCGGTGGCTGACAGCTTCCTCGTTCAGAGCCACAAAGTCCTTAGATCCTTTTTTGGCCATTTCGACGATGTACCCGGTGACTGGACTAGCCCCGATATAAACAGGAGCCTTCCACAACAGAACCAGGGAGTTGCCCCTCACCTCACTGAAGCTCAGGTCATAGGCCGGTCCTGGACGAAAACAAAAGTATAAAAGTTTGAACAAAAATAATATAATATGATATAAAAATTGCTAAATTTGCCACCACTCTGACCAGGATTAGTTAGGTTATATTATACAACTGAAGAGAAAATAATAACATTTTTGCATTATATAGGACCTTTACACACAACACAGGCTCTTACCAGGAGTGTCCATGGTCCAGGCCTCACACTTCATAGGAGCACTAGGAGCAGAGGGGATGCCCACTCCAGCCAGGTTACCAGCGGTGATCTTAAACTCATAGAAAGTTCCCTCTGTCAGATTCTCCACCTAAAGTGGTAAATAAATAAGTTACTTTTAATATTTTGTAATGCTTTTGCAGGACATTAAAGCCCAGCACATGAAACACACAAATATGAATTTATGGCTCTTAAAATGTTCTCATGAATGCAACTAGGCCTGGGCAATATGGAATGCAATATTTCCTGATATTAATCAATCCTAATTTTTTACTTGTAAAACAAAATGCTTGTCAGTACTGATTTCATGAAGAGACAACAAAGACAATTTCTTCATCCAAAGTTTGACAACGGATTCATATCACATGCTTTCACTGACTGAAAGGATTGAATGTGGTCCTCTCAATTAAAAGATCTAGTATTAATAACTGAATCTCTAATGCAACCTATTAGTTAACTCTATCACTGTAACTGAAACCAAAACATTTGTATCTACCAACCCCTAAACTCTAGTTAAGTATTACCCTCCTTTACCTTGCAAACTCTCTCTGTGACCGCCTGCAGGTTGACCTCCTTCCAGGCCAGAGTATCTGCGTCTCTCTTATCGATGTAATAGGCGTTCACTTTAGATCCTCCACAGTGTCTGGGGCTGTTCCAAGCCAAAGTCATGGATGAACCATCGCAACTCAACATTGTGATACCGAACGGGGCACTAGGGGTTGCTGTGGAGAGGTAACGTCAGAATCAGTTCAGATTATTCATTTTGATTGGTTGTCAAAAAAGTTTACAGAGTATGAACCAGTAAAAGAGAGTGGCTCCAGCTCACTAGGCTATCTTTACTCATTATCTAAAAGTCTACAACTGAAAGCATTAGGTGTCTCAAAACAATTTGTGCAGTCATTAAAATACTACAGTTAAATGTGTACAGTCTTAAATATCAGTGATCAAGGAACATGTGCTATAAAGTGTGTGTATTAGAGTGAACACAGAGCAGAGTGGATTTTGAAGTGATTTCCATTCTGAAGTGGTGGGCTCATTCAGTTACACAGTCACAAATAAAACATACCATATTCAAAACCTCTGCCTGGAAGAAACAATGAAAGACAAAAAAGGTACAATACATAAATCTGACTGAATAAACTAAACATATTCAAAATATATTTTAATGTATAGTTTTAATATATTTGATTAAAAAAATATTCAGGCTGAATCATAGATTGTATAAAGAAGTGGACTGGGGAGTGTGACGTCACCCACTTGGCAGGGGGCGGGCTCTTGAGGCTGTCATTCAAACTTGTCTCTTGATTCTCTCTTGATTTATGGACAAAATTATGAATAATGAGCCTAACAGCAGCAGTAAGGGAGAGGAGATGGGCCTTTTTTCAATAAAAAGTAAACTGGAGTTGAAAGAGCCGAAAAGAGTCAAAATGCTCATTTCCTATTTGGAACACAGCAGTTAGCGGGCTACCTATGTCCATTTATATATACAGTGTGAGCACTAATAATAAAATTGTAATTTCTGACACACACATGAACACATGAAATTTATCCTCATAAATAGACTATGAATAGTCTCTTGAATGCAGTTTTGTAAATGCAAAGTGCATATACTCACATAGGGCCGGCTCGACTGTGATAGGGCCGGACTCCTGAGACTCTTCACTCAAACCAAACACATTCACAGCTTGAACTCTGAACACGTACGTCTCTCCAGGAACAAGTCCATGCACCACAAATCTGAGGAAAGATTAATAAAAAAATCATTGCTTTTCTCCTCCTCTTCACAGTGGTTATCCTCTCATAATGAAACCAGTATTCAGACTGGTTAATATTTACCATTTAGCCTTGCTAGTTTTAGGTTACCTTCACAATAACATACATATCACATCAATTGCAGTAATAAACTAGAACTAGAGATAGGATGATGACACTGTATTAAAATGCCAGTATATTAATTCCACAAGGATAATGCTATTGACATAGGTAATTTATTTCAATGGGTTCGTGGAAAAAGCAGCTCTCCTCACAGCTTCGAATTCATGAACTTATTATAGGTCATCATACATGCCCATCATACCACAAATAATGTAAATGGCCAGGTAGAAATAGTCTGAAGTCTGTTTTCATGTAAGCCTTTAGTGCCTTCTAGACCTAATCTCTGAGGGCTACTTGTTTTGCCCTGATAATTGTATTGTTTCCTCAAATATCTGCACATCAAAGTAGAGCATAACAGAGGATATCATATACAAACATTTTAAGATTAGAGGTATTTGTTGTTTATATAAAATAGGCAACTCCATGGTATACCGTTATACCATGGAATTTTTCATCATGGTTATCATACTTAAGAAATTTCATACTGTCGCAATCCTAACTCAAACTAAACCAGACCAGGACTAAACCCAGAGTAAAAAAAGGACCAAACCAGGTTAACTGGTTCCAACTAAACTGGCACAAAACCAGAACCCAAAGTGAACGCAGCCTCAGCTACGTCACGCCTGGTAACCTTTTGACTTTGTTGTTCTTTGGCCCTTTTGTTATTCTAATCCACTGGCACAGTGCTATAGCATTGGGAAGACACTTTTGCTGTCACCTGTTGTGCTTGAATGGCTTGTGGTTGCAAGGGAACCACTCCTTGGACCCAACAACTCTGCCATCGATGTAATATCCCATCAGGTTCTTCAGGTGTTTGGGAGAATCCCACTGAACAAACACAGATGACTTTGTGTTTCTGGTGGCAGTGACCTGCCCCGGGGCAGATGGGACACCTTTGGATGAGAACATAGGAAATTTAGAAAAACTATTCAAATAATAATTGGAAGAGGATTCTGCTGACCATATAACAGTTACTTACTTATGACCAGAGCTAAACAGAATAGTTTCATAGTACAAGTCACGCAATAAATAGCTTTCACAATTGTTTCCAAAATATTGAAAGTGTATTATTTAAAAAATAAAGGATAAGATCTTCAGTTGAGTGTGTTTACATGGAATTTGTGAGTTAGAGCTGGGTTTGTAAGCATAACAGCAAAATATTTAATTTATTAAAAAATGTCCCAGGTGTAGTTAAAGACACACAGTGAAAGTGACTTCAGACTGAGAGAGCTCAGTACATACCAATTGGCTTCTCCACGTCTGCAAAGTATAACACATTGATTTGATTGTGTTTATTTGTGACTTTAGATGTTGCATATTTTCTTTAAATCATATTTCAAAATGGAAGAAATTGTGGACTTTGAGGAAAATACTGACATGACACAACATGGGTGGGAGATGTTTGACAAATGACTCAAATTTATTCTTCTTTTTAATGTGCATAAGCTTTTATAAAACTATAATTATTTGTGATAGTTATTGTCATGCCATGTCCATATAGATATGATGGCAATTATTTAAGGATTGTATGTCTTGAGTTTTAGTTTGTTCCATCTTCTGAGGCCTAAACTATGCCATAAAGAATGAAGGCAATATTACATTTTATTTATATTTTCATTTATTTGCACATGTCGATGAGGTGAACCTTACCATCCATGTCCACTTTCTGCACAGGCTCAGTGGGCAGGGACGCCTCACTCGACCCGTACATGTTCACAGAATACACTCTGAACTGGTATTTCTGTCCCTCGGCTAAATCAAAGACCGGATATCGCGGAGAGCTGATTTTGACTGCTGTGTTGATGCGCTGCCATGCTTCTGTGCCTGCAAAGCACTATGGGAGGGCGGGGCCAGAAAGGAGCAAGAACCAAAGAACCAGGCAAACAAATGCATCAATGAATGAACAAGCAATGATCTCAAGACCTAGTAAATACAGTGGACATTGACAGATATGTATGTACCTGTAATTATGTAATTATTATGTGCACTATGTAACTTATCTGCTTGTATCCCTGGAGATGTTATGGATTTGCCTGGACAACAATATGGCATCGAATGTATCTATCTCATATTTATTCAATAAATGTTATATTGCTTAAATGTAAATAAAGGTTGTATACGTAAAACAGGCTTTCACACTGTAATTGAAAACACGGAGGTAGAGATGTTCATGTGAATGTGAAACATTCCAGCCAAAGCAATAATCTTTCCAGGTAGACGAGCAGGTGGCAGAATTCCACCAGAAAAGTTACATAAAAGAGTTACATAGTGCACTTTTAATATTACTTCATACTGGAACAGAATTTACTTCAAGAAAATAATTTAAATTCTGTAGCCTTTAGTACAAATCTGCCAATTGTTGCAAAATGCAAAGAATTGTGCTTAACATCGACAAATAAGAATGAGTATTCTTGATTGAAATTATAGATTAAAGATTACAAATAGGATTTGATCATGTAGTATATTTCTGACTTTTCTGATTTTTATTTTTATTTTTTAATGTTATAATCTGTATAAGAAACTGCACTCGTAGTAATGTATTGTAATGTAATAAGTCAGAAATACCTACTTGAAATACTTGAAACTATTTTTAAAAATGTCTATAACTACTCAAGATCAAGTTGTTTAACTGATGCAAAAACTTCTTAAATTTTACTTTATTTCCCTTATTTGGAGATGTAAACATTTGTTGTACATGATGCAGATGACACTATAGTGCACGGAGATCAGAGCAGACAGGAGCAGCACAAACCTTCTCGATGACGTACCAAAGCGGGGCCCTTCCTCGCGGTTTGGGAGGAGTCCAGCTCAAAACCACGTAGGACCTAAACACCTCAGACACATGCAGCTCTGTGGGCTCCCCAGGAACAGTAACGTAGCCTGGATAAGGTTAAGCTTAAGTCAAGTACAAGGCAAAACTGATGAGGAAGTCCCAGAAATACTTAAAATGTATTATAGCCTCACACGCTTTTCTCCATGAGATAGATTCAGTAGGAACATACCAGGTAAAGCAGTAACATCACCATGGAGATAAGCAGGTGATCCTCTGCCAGAAAGGTTGGCACACCTTTACACACCTTAATTTTTGTTGAACCAAATGAAATAGATATGACTGCAATTTTGAAATAGGCACTTTTTCTTTTACTTTGCAGTCAGACTATTCTGATCAAGTCTTGGAAACCTGCTCTTCTTAAAATATGTTAATTTGTTAAAATTGATAGCAAAGAAAAGCAGAATCTGGTCTAATTAGGACTTTTTCAACAACTCAACAGATAAGTAGACCAGTCTGAAAATTATAATATCAACAATATAAAATAACATGAAAAGCATTACAGCAAAGACATGCAAAACATAGCACACAGGGAAGGCTAGACATGCAGGGGGCAAATGATGGCAAAGAAAATCCAGGAGGACACGCTCTACATGCCAGTGAAGCCATACATATTTGATATTCAACTATGTCAATAATAACTGGTGTTAGATAAAAGGTATAACAGATCTCTAGTTTTCTTTAAAAAGTTGTTTGTGGTAACAGTTTATTTTATATCCTGAATACTATGTACCTTCCTGATCTAGTTTCGTTACAACATTCAATCACATGCAATCTGACCCCTCTATCACGTAAGTGTAACTATTATTAGCATGTAATGTTATTACTATTGATGTAATGTTATTCCATGTTGTTTCATAAGTACTGTCAATTTTACAGTCCTCATGAAACAACATGGAATAACAAAACACAGTACAGTTTGCTTTTTTAACAACATAACAAAAATAGCATTTAAAGTTGTTAATACAGGAATAAGCTTCAATACTTGCTGACTTAAAAGTTGTTTCAGTGTACTAAAAGGAACATGTACAGTGACAGATTCTTAGTTTTGTTTGTTTGTTTGTTTTAGATTTTGATAGGAATTGGGACAACTAATGTGCCCAAGACACTGAACCCATGATACGGTAAAATGCTCTGTCCTGTGTATGTGTTGTATCCCTACCATTGATTTACAATAACTCCTCTTATTAAGTCCAACACGTGATGTTATTTCAGATAGGGAAAAAGGGGAAATGTTAACAATGACTGTGGGATTATGATGAAAGTGGATGAAAAGAGAGAGAGTCTTTAAATCCAAATCTGTTTTACCTTCCAGATCATCATCCTTGATCACTATGTCAGATTTCCCGGGTATTTTTACCACTGTTTCAGACACAAGTTTGGTTATGTTTGAGATCTTGCTGCTGCGTGTTTTGACATTTACCTTCGTCTGTACCTTGCAACCGTTCATTCTCTATGGGATCGATGGCAGTGATTTTGTCGGACTTGCGGGAGGGTCTGCTGATGCCCGCACTGTTCACTGCCCGGACCCTGAAGTGGTATGAGTGGCCCAGATTCAGCCCGTGGACAGGGTATTTACAAACCTTCACCGGGGAATCGTTACACTGCACCCAAGTGTCACTGCCAGACTCACAACTGGAAATGAGCATAATATAATATACATTAATTATAATACATTGTATTCAATTTTGATGGTATTGCAACATGGCATGACATTAACTTCACTGGCTATAAGGACATATGATTTTTATAAACTGTTCTTGCAAACTAGTGTTTTGTTTACTAAGACTTCAATGTATTCATCACCAAAGATGTGATTTTTGTCAGCTGAAAACACCTTAGGCCATGAGAAGTATTGCCATCACCCAAATTATCACAATTATGAACATGAACCCAATCCCTAACAAATAATAAGGTTCAACATTTGTAAATTTCATTACCTCCGCCAAGGAGGTTATGTTTTTGCTGGCGTTTGTCTGTTTGTTTGTTTGTGTTTGTCTGTTAGCAACATAACTCAAAAAGTTATGGACCGATTTTGATGAAATTTTCAGGATTTGTTGGAAATGTGAAAAGGAAGAACTGATTTCATTTTGGGGGTGATCCGGAAGAAATCCTGGATTCTGGATCACTTTGAAATTTTAGTTAACACTGTGGTAAATGGGGCCAAAAATTTTGTTTCTCAATATCTCGGTTAATTATTGACCAAACCCCATGAAATTTGACTCAGGGATGGACAATGGGATCCTCTTTCATATTCCAAAGGCTGATCCAGATCTGATCCAGAAGACTGATTTTATCGCAATTTATATAAAAAATGGGGGTAGTCCTTGGCGGAAGTCTGCGCTCTCTGAGTGCTTTTCTAGTTTTGGATATTTCATTCAAAATTAGTGAATCTACTATAAACCATATGAGTCTATATAATATTTATATATATAATTACATTCTAGAATGTGACTGCAACCTGTTAGCAGACAATCAGTTTTGTGCTGAATCTCACCGGTCGACGAAGTATCCGGTGATGGGTGCCTCATTGACAGTGTTTGGTGGTTTCCAGGCGACCAGGACAAAGTCTGCATTCACATCGTACGCCTTCACGCTCATGGGGGCTCCAGGGGCCCCAGCAGTGGTGGGGGCCGCATCTACAGAGGGCCAAAATGTTCAATGTAGTAGAAGAAGAATTTACTTCTAGAATAATCAGATCAGATTTTGTGTATATGTTTACATGCCCATATTGGCCCAAAAAGCCAACAGCAGACGCCTCGAAGGGCTTTACAAAATAGCTGACTTAAATCAAACAATGTAGAAATGGTCAACTTAAATACCTGAGACAAAGAGGTAAGCGCTGTGGTCTACGGTGCCATCCTTGGCGAAGATGCGGACAGTGTATAGACCCTCATCGTCTTTGGCCAGAGAGGGTAGAACAAGACGTGCAACTCCTCCTCCCACAAACATCTCAACAAGTTTACCAGGCTTCAGCAGCTTATCTGAAGGAAAACACAAGTTTTACATAATTACTAAATCACCACATTGTTCAATAAATAGTAGATGGAACAATATTTTTCAGGGTATTTATCATAGGTACTTTTTCTTTGTACTATTAGGGAGATTTTAGTTATTTTTTTGAAGTGCAATAATATTTGAGCTGTTTATTTGTATTTATTTTCTTCCTTTTTACTTTATGAGAATTTAAGGGGATAAAGTGCCATTATGAGTACAACTATATACAATGTAGGGTTAAATAATCAAAAGCTAAGTTTTGCTACCAAGATATCTTGTTTGGGAAAAGTGAACCTACCCTCTGAGCTCACAAGCTGAAGAACAACCTTATGTGTTTTAGGCTGATAAAGAAACCACTGGGAGCATATACAAACCCCTGGTCAGGGAATCTAACCCACAACTTTCTACCTGTGAAGTTTTATCTGTTTTACCACTGTGCCACCTTCAGATAGGTTTCATCTGTATTTGTAACTCACCGTCTCTGTACCATTGCACGAGAGGGGGCACGTTGGGGAGGTCTGGGACTATGACCATGCTACAGGCCAGACTGATGGTTCCGCCCTCCACTCCAAAACTCACAGGGAAACAGTCCAGAAGAGACACCTCCAGCTTACTGGGGTGGATTTCTGACAGATGGGGCACTGCAAAAAACAAACACAAAAAGTAAGATAGTAACATTTATAAAAGCAGATGAAAACAAGTGCATGTCTTATGAATCATTTGTTGAATTTTTTTGTTTTTGTTTGTTTTGACAGTAAACATTGTTCAGCAGTGACTTGTTATTTAGGCACTGGGACCACTGTAGCTCCTTATAATAGTTTCCACTGATTATCTCTCACATGTTCAAATTCAAGTCTATTTCGGGACCAGCACCTCTACATATTTGGGGTTCGATCCAAACTAATATTAATAAAAGATTTTCAGTCATGTTAAAATGTGATACTGACCCAGACCAAGGTGGCAGGGCTCTCCAGATCCACTCGCTCCTGTGATGAGAGACACCACCATTAAACAAAAGAATACTTCTGCTTTAAACTTGATGTCAGTTCAACAATCACATGCAATTACACTATTATATACAAAGTGATGGAAGGCACAAAAAAAAATTTGACATTTTTTGTCAGACAAAGTACTTTGTGAGGACCCATAGAGGGCCTTTCACCATTCAAAAGATATAATATTTTATTTGAATTGGTTAATTGCTACGACCGTGGACGGAGGAGGGTACCCTTAGCTTCAAAACCACGACTAGCCATACACAGTAGTATACTTTTTCGAATAAATCCTTTAATACCAAAGTCAAAAGATTATAAGGGAATACTGTACTGACTGTTTGTAATCATTTTAAAATTCAGTTTGAAGTGCACTGTCTTATGTTACAGTCCATAGTATAAATAAACTTACTCTTGACAGTGACTGTTGCCTTGCTGGTCGTGGTGCCATGTTGGTTTGTGGCCACAGCACTATATTCAGCCGTATCACTCACTACACACCTGCAGAGCACACACATGGGAATTGTATAAACAACATCTAACACACATCATAACAAAACAAACTTAACAGTGGTCAGTTGTTTTAAGAGCTGTTTTCTAGGCCAAGAATAGTATCTGCAAATATCTAAAATTACAAAAATATAAAACTGATATAAAACTCATGCAAATATGTTATGTTGTTATTTATCCTTCACTTAACTACAGAACAGCTTTGTAGAAATAAAAGTTCAAACATTGTGAGACTTTCTGGGCCAATATGATCTGTAAATACGTCAAGGTATATGTCCACCAGGATATTGGGTGAACCGATATTTGGAAGCTGATCCGATACAACACAATTTTTCAGGATCAGTGCCAATATCTGATACCAGTATTGGATAAGTGCATATGTAGTAACAATGCCTATTTGTCAAGGTATTTTTTGCCCCCTTCTCCTGACACACACACAAGTTACATAGTGCGCCTTCAACTCAAACAAAAGCCTGAATGTACATTTTTAGTCATTGCTCACACAGTCCCTCAATATATTTCCAATAGCAGACGAATAACCAATTTGCCCTGTAAATTGTGTAAAAGAGCATATTAAATTTTACAAAGTCTCTAAACTTTGAAGTTTTATAGTTTATAGACACATTTACAGTTTACATATTTACAAGTCTGTTTCTTTCTGTTCTTTCTGTAAGTAAATGACTTTTATTGCAACATAAACTGGCGGGGAGGGGGGGCGTGGCCAGAAGGGAGCGGTGTCCTTGAAGAAGATTGTGAGTTAAACCAAGAAATACGACCTTTAGCTATTTTAAACACAAAACTTCGCAGCATAAATCAGACAAAAAATTAAAGGGCATTTGTGAGACATTTCTACAACCTTGAGGACAGTGTGTCAAGAAGAACGGGTATGTTTTGGAACTAGACTGATTGAGATTTGAAAGGGAGGGGAAGCCGAGAGAAACAGCAGTAGAGAAGGAGAGGGGAGAGAGAAGAAAAAGAGAGTGGTTAGAGAAAAAGAGAGAGGTGGGTTTCCAGATAGGCAGAGAGAAGGGAAGAAAGAAAGAAAGGGGGAAGAGAAAAATAAAGACAGAAGGAAAGAGAGGTATAGGAGAATAAGAGAGGAGGGGTAGAAAAAGCACCAAGGGGAAGAGAGAGAGAGTGAGAGGGAGAGAGAAGAAAAAGACAGTGGTTAGAGAAAAAGAGAGAGGTGGGTTTCCAGATAGGCAGAGAGAGGGGAAGAAAGAAAGAAAGAAAGAAAGGGGGAAGAGAAAAATAAAGACAGAAGGAAAGAGAGGTATGGGAGAGTAAGAGAGGAGGGGTAGAAAAAGCACCAAGGGGAAGAGAGAGAGAGTGAGAGGGAGAGAGGGAGTAGGAGCAGTGAGGTATTTGTGGCTTGAATGACGCAGAGGTCAGCACTTGACATGAACAGCTGATGGTCTTCAAGATGACGAACAGAAGCAAAGATCCAAGCCTGAAGTCTGTACAGTGTCCCGGAAGGATCCAAATGAGTGTGTCACAGTGCTGTAACCTACTGTTTTTAGTTAAGTAAATTGCAATTTTCATGATTTTATTCCAATGTGATGAGATTTACATAGATTTAAATTAAAATTGTCCCTATAAGTTTCATTGCCATATAGGGGTGTATCGAAATATTGGTATATCGCATTATTTAATGCAATGATACAGTATTGATATTGGGGACTGCTGAATCGATATATCGCCAAGAGATTTTTTTGAATATTTTACTAAATAATTTTGTTACAGCGCTACAGTTTTGTTGTTTGTTTAGTGAAAGGAAACTTGTTTATGCGACAAATTTGACATTTTCACTGTTTTGATGATTAAAATGAGTGTGTTTCATATTCACTTTGCACAAAAAGTGGTTTAACAAACACTTTTAGTATCACATACATCATTTAGCCATTATTTTTTATTGAACCATATTGAATCGGTTTGAAATATATCTTATCGAACCGAAAGTGCACTGTATCGACATATGTATTGTATTGTGGCCTACATCTCAAGGTATGTATCGTATCTGCAACTTCTTAATGATACCCAAACCTATTGCCATTGTTGGTGATCAAAAACAAGCAACTTCCCTTAACAATATGCAAAATGAAGCATTAAATTTAACTGAATAGTGCATTTAAATTTCTAGTTATCCAGATAATTCAAGTTAGTCAGTTATTTGACAATTCACATTAGACAATTCTGCTAAGTAATTAAAGCTAAATGGACAAACGTGTGTAGAAAACTTGACAATGCAAGACAGTGCTGCTTTGTACAGGCAGAATGTATTGATGGTGTTTTACCTGCTAATAATCAAACTGTGGACTCCGTATTTATTCTCAATCTTGTACTTTCCAGGAGCGCTCAGAGGGTCCACCGGCACACCTCCTTTGTACCTAAATGCAAAAGGACACATTTTCAAAATAACAGAGCAATATATTTCAATACAACCAAAAGAAATCATTCACTGAGGGCAATGACAGATGACAGCTAGGGTTACAACAAGAAAAAACACATTCATTATACCCTTGCATTGTACAGGAAAGAGCTCTTTAATATGCAGACCTTAAAACAACTTGATTTTAACAGATTAAATAAATTATGAAAAAAATGCTACAATTGCTAAGCATAGTTCAAAAAGTGTAAATAATACATGATATTAAAGGCGCTTGATCCGTTTTTACTATACATGAACTAGTCTTGAATTGCACATTTTAAATTATATTTGTCAAGGTCCAAAGTTTCTCATCAGTTTCCTAACTCACTGTGATGAGTTAATAAATGCTTGTCACTCCGAGGCCAGAGCAGAATTTTGCTGTCATTCTAATAACCAGCACATTAACAGTGAATCAGCCTTACTTCCTGGTTCACAGATGACAAATGTGCTATAAATAAATACAGGCAGCACGCAGCAGTCTCATTTTAATCCTGAGAGATGGTTAGTGTATATTTATTTGGATAAAACAAATTGTACTTAAATACAACACAAGTGTACAGCCCCTTGTATTCCTACCATTTGACGATGGGCCTGGGGTTTCCCTGTACAGTGCAGAACAGCTTCACTGGAGTCTTCTCCCAAACAGTGTGAGGCCTCAGAGCCACTAGGAAGTCCGGCATTTTCCCAATGTCATCCAACAACTCCGACCTCTTAGACATCTTCTCCTTCACCTGAGAAGGCAAAAGGTACAGCTGAAATATGATGTACTGGGGCAAAGTCTATGAGAAGCAACTCTCATAAACTAGTAATAGTTTCACTAGATATCCTCTTCATAAAATTACTTTAAATGATAATTAATAAACATTGCTTTAGATTTTATTGTTTTTATATATCTAAAAAACCTTTTTTCAATATTTGTTATATACAATTTTCTTGTTAAAATATAGTTTTAGATTAGAGCTTCAAATGCCACCTTTATAGGTTTCGAATACCATCTACATCAGGGGTGTCAAACTCATTGCTGTCCGGGTTCTGGATCAGAAAATTCATGGCATATATATCCCAAAAATAGCAATAAGTTCAAATATTTGTGCAGAGAAACGCAAATCTATTACAGAAATCTTTTTTTAATTGATGACCTCTTTCTTTTACAAAATATTATAATATTATGAACAACCTGAAACTTTAAGAAAAATGCAATTTCAACACAATGTTTTAACATGAACTTGTATGCAAATAGGAATAAGTCAGTTTTTCTTGGAAAATCCTGCACTTGGCTCCACTTTTCTCATTTTTGACATTTTGCTGATGAGGGTGTCACGGTCAACAGTCAAAACGATCGTCCTTTAAGAGCATTTGGAAAGAGGCAAGTCTTCATTTGTGCTGCTCTGGTGGGAGGGGCCACGTACAGAGACGCTGGAGATGCTGCTATGCTAAGCAGCGCAGAAAATTATCAATATTTTAATAGGAAATATAATTAAAATATTTTTTTAGAAAATCAGCTGACGGCCAGATTTAATTTCTTGGAGGGCCGGATCCGGCACCCAGGCCATATGTTTGACACCCCTGATCTATATAATTCAATATAATGTCAAAGTGGTTACCGGTATATCAGGATTCAGAGTTATGAGGCCAAAGTAATTTTAACCAAACTAAACGGTCCCTCACACAGACCTCTTTCTGGATGGCAATGTTGTCGACCTGGGCCTTGGTGACCATCCTCATGCGGTGCAGCTCCTGCTGGATCACCGCGAGACCCTTCCCCACATTAGCAGACACCCGCTGGTACTCGGGGGTGGAGTCATCCTGGGACCTGAGTGCACAACAGAGCATTTAAAACACGCAGTATCACATAATTTAAATAAATAAATACATAAACATAATTTATTTAAAATGTAGATTGTATAAATATTGTTACAGATCATGACTGATTTTGCATGTAAAAGCAGTCCCAGTGCATGTATGTGGGGTGTGTGACCACCGTGTTGTCTTACAGGACTGAAATAGCTCACCTCTCCCGAAAGGCCGGGACGGTGTAGGCTGGTTGTGCCATCGCCTCTGAGGCCTGTGGCTCTGGGCTCTTCTGCTTGTGACTGACTGATTTCCTGGTTGATAAAGAGTAATTAACAGTCATTATTAGGGACATTACCATACAGAAAAACTATGAGGTGACTACATTCTTTCCTGTGACTATGAACAGGCATTTCATGATTATTCATTAGAGACATATTATTGAACACAATCACGACATAAAAGACCCTCCTTTGTGTCAGGGCAGTGTCATGGTTTAGGGTTTTGTGTATATGCATGATCCAAGTGGAATAACATAATTTTGTATTTCATGTTTAGGTTAAGAGGAATATTAGTCCAAAGTATTACATCATATACATTTAAAAATTTGGACAACTGGACAATTGTCTTTCATAATTGGCATCATCTGATAACACCAGATCACCTCTACAAATATATTTTGACACAGAAGCCAGAAAAGCTACATGCAAATTTTTGTCTTCAAATTGTATGTGATTTCTTGGTACCCTTATTAAAACATTTGTGCTGTAATTTTGTAGACTTACGATCTGACACCAATTAACCATCCTCCTCACAAGATTTGACTGCACATCGTGTTTTCTTCAGAACAATGCTAATTTCAGTGGGAAAAATGGCAGCTAGTCATTTAACCTTCATTTATCTAAATGTGACCCCAAATGTAACATATGAATTATTTCTATTTTATATAGCCATTTTATATACTTGAACTTTTATAGCCATAATATATACTTTTACTATACATAAAAGTCCCTCTTCTCTAATCTGTAGCTCTTGTCTGAATGTGGGTCAGGCTTGGGAGGGCTCTGAACTCTGACATCAGACTAAAACCACTTGATCCAAGATGGCCACTGCAGACAGAGTTTAAGTGTAGGAGCCAGGTACAGTTTGGGGTTATGAGGTTATCACTGCACCACAGTGACCACGGTGACAAGCAAATAAAACTAATACTAAGACCACCTTAACATAAACCAGTATTAACTGCAAGTATCAGGAAGATTAGGGGGCTACTTGTGTGTAAATGTCTGAATCTTAGTTCTTTATTTATTAGTTTTATTTTGAGGCATTTATTTTATGTTATATGCATGGTACAAAAATGTGCATATTTGTCTCACCGACTCATTTGATTTAAAGGTGCAGTACGTAACTTTTTGGTCCGAAATCTGCTTGTTTCCATGCTCCATGCTCTATTGCTTTGCTCAAAGTGTTCCACCTTAGGGTATCTATTTTAGATTGTATTGCTTATAAAAATATTTTGTAAACATGCATGCACAGGGGTTTGCTCACCAGAGTAACTTGGCCAGAAGACAAGCATGTGGCAGACCCTACACCAGAAAAATTACATACTGCACCTTTAAAGTTAGTAATAAAAAAAAAAATCCATCACAAATTATTTATTTTTTCAGTCTATCTTATATTAAATTAAATAAGATAACTACAAAAGCAGAGCTCTGACTAACAGTTTAAATAGTTTAAATCTTGTCAAACTTTGCCTTAACGTAATAGAAAATGACTTCTGTGTCTAGGGACTAGATTCAAGTCAAACATAATCAGAGTGAATGTATTTTCCTTTTCTTCTTTACAAATCTGACCCAGCAGGGCTACATAGTTGTAGGCAAAATAATTTTATAGTGTTGGTTTATAAAGTTAGAGAGGCTTTGAATTTTTCTGAAAGTAAAATGATAAAACATGACAGTCATTGCAGATCAAAAATGTATAATGAAACAAGAAAACAAAACAAAATTCCAACATCAGACAAATATCAGTTAATATCTCTACATCTACAGCACTACTACATTACGAGCCATCATCCAGCGCAGTGAGAGAAGCATGCAGTAAATGTATTACGGAAATGATTTTAGTAGAAGCCACACTCCAGAGTCAGTGACAGCCCTATAAGCTCTGAGCATTAGAGCAGATTACAGCAGATACTGAGGCTCAGGAAGGCGGGACTTCATCCAAACTTAAATCCAAATTTAAAGTAAATATAGTTATAGTGATTAAGAAAACTATTGCACTTACATCAAATATTACAATGTGTCATAATTTCAAAGTCATTAATGATTTAATACAGTATATCACACATATTTAGACCACATTTTACTTTGAAAATGTGACTTTTTAATATTATTTTATAAGTTGTATTAGGGGAAATAAACAGTATACCAAGGTTATCAAAATCATGTTAGCTTCCAGTCTGGACACTGCAGTAACTGCAGTTAATTCAAGATCCTATGGGTCTAACAATGTCTGACTGCACAAATCATTTAATCGTCATATATTTTGGCACCATACTCATTCCTGAAACTCTTGCATATTACTTTTGACAGATATTGTTTTTCATTGAAGGGGTAACACTTTATTCTACACTCTGGGCCTTAATAAATTATGAGCAAAGACTTAATTCATAATGGACAAAAAGAAGACATATCGAACTTACATATCATGTCGGATATATAGATATGATCTATGACATGGATCATTGTTATAATTTGTACATTTATCAGGGATGGTTAAAAACAGAGGTTGATCGGCAATATGGAAATCTTAAAAATAAGCGATTAAAGATTGCTCAAATATGCATGTTGATCACTCCAGTTAATTTGCATAACAGATATGCTTTAAGAATGATTCAGGCTAAGTAATATCATGATACTACGTCCTAACCCCTTATTAAGAAGTCACTAAGGTTAAGATTAGGCCTATTTGTTAAGTAGTTTTTCATACTTTATTAAGGCTAATTAAGATGTTAAAATCATTGTACATAACAGTCTGAAATGGGCAAAAGTTCAGTCTAACTTTTTCTGTGTTGGAATAATTGATGCAACAAAGAAAGAAAATGATAAAATATACTCAATAGCAAATGTTCATAGCTGTTGCAAAGCTGCCAACACATTGTCTAATATACAACAGTGACTTCAAATACAGACTTCAAAGCCAGCCTAGCTCCTCAGCTCCTCTCCATAAGCAGCATCAGCCGGTGTCAGCCGGGATAAGCCTGTAGCCCAGCATACCTGACCGTTGTTTTCTGAGACACTTGTTTAGCCGTGTGGTGATAAGCATAATCGGTTTGGACTTGGCTCACAAGTTTCTTCTTATACCACGGTGAGACTTTGAACGGCATGGTGGGATGCTTCACGTTGACCTGACCAGAGCCACCAGAGGAACCAGAAACCATATATCAGAAACATAACTAAAGAGCTACAATCCCTCTTTATAGCAGCAGTGGTTCTCAAACTGTGTCATAAATGTATTGGTGTTGCAGGTTAAAAGGGACACTATTATTTTAATTATTGTAGCTTCTAAACTCGCCATGTAACAAATAATATAATAATTTTAACATGAAGTAGCTGCTGCTTCATCTGCTCTAATATAATGTGTGATAGGGAAGATGTGTGAGTGAAAGTATGTAAAAGTTAGGAGTTTGTTAGGCTTGATTAGAAGTGGATTACGGTACTGTAAATCAAGATACACTCTTGCTTGATATAGGTAAAGGCACTCTCACTCACTCTAAAGGCAGGTCTTTAACCATGATTGAGACAGCCTACATATTCCCTTGTTTAGGCTTACATCCTTTTTGGACCTGATTTGGGGCTGATTTTGTCACAGTTTAATCCTGGGCTTGATTTAATAATATGGTCAAGTAAATCCAAGTTACACCTGGTGTAGGCCTGGTTTAATTTTGGATTAGCTCTTAGCCCCAGATTGAGGTTGGTATCCAGAGAAGTCCTGACTTATTCCTGAATAGAACCTGGTTTAGTCCTCTTTAAATGTGTTCCAGTGAGAACCACTGATCGCCCATCTATTATTTATCCTAGCTTTTATTTATGCAGGAACTATATAGGCTTATACGTATTTAACACCAAATTATAACAATGTGCTTATTAACAAAGTAAAAGTAGAAAAAAAATATATATATATATATATATATATATATATATATATATATATATATATATATATATATATATATATATATATATATATATATATATATATATATATATATATATATATATATATATATATATATATATATATATATATATATATATATATATATATATATATATATATATAGTATATATGGTTCTACTCAGGAATAAATCAGGACTTCTCTGGCTTCTCTGGATACACACACCTGTTAAGATAAACAATGGCTCCTGCAAAAATGCTTGTTCAGTACATTCAGTCCATGTTTCCCGGTGTAATTTACTTAATTTAGCACATTCAGCTCTCAAAAATGACAAAAATGAACAAAATGAACAAAATGAGGTAGACCAGAATGTCTCACCAATAACATGTTCCATTCTGTTAAAGTGACAAACTCAAAAGTGAAATATTGTCATTGGACCTGCAATTTGCTGGGTCACAATATTACTCTACTGAGCAGTGGATTGCCTTCTTTACAAATAAACAAATATAATCTTAAAAATCAATCAGACATTGATTTTTAAGATTATATTGCAAGTATTTTTAATCTGCTCTTTCTGCAACCTACTAGACTCTATATACATTTTTTACTGTATATACTAATTTTGCATATCTTTAGAACAGCAATTGCTATTTTTTGAAATATTTCCCATCTCTAATATCAACAGAAAGTTAAATAACAATGTCTCAAAATTATTTTTCTTTTTACTGCACTACTGTAAGACATTTTTCTTTTGCTCTCCACACTCTGAGGTGGTAATAATATACATTGGAAGTCACAGCTGCCATAAGGCAAAATGACTGAAACATGGCTGGCAATCTACAACAAGGGCTTTCTGGCCCCGTCCAATAATTTAAGAATCATACAACAACAGATGCAAAGGTTGAAGCAGGGAATAAAGGCCAGATCAGCTATTATGTTGTAAATGAACATGGCTAAAGCAATTTTCTTTGTATAGTGTATTTAATACATTTTTATATATACTCACTTTACCTGTTTACCTGTTACCATTTAGCCAGGATTACTCATTTTGTACACTATGTAACTTTTCTGCTTGTCTCCATGAATATGTTTTTGCATCTCCTAGCGCGTTCCACAGTATGTCATCAAACTTATCCATCTCCATGGAGACAAGCAGGTGCCACCATGCCAAGTTACAGGTCAGATCTGTGGAGAGGCGATAGCACACACAAGATAGATATTGACAGATATTTGGCAGGGGATATTGACCTCCACCAGAAAAGCTACATCGTGCACCTTTAATATCAATATTTTCAAATCCATCCCTTATAACCTTCTTTTCATGCCCAAAACAAACATGACATAACAAAAAAACATTTAACCACATTAATCTTAAACCAGGACAAGCCAATGTCATTTCTGAAGCAGCCGTACAGTCCCCACCTATCACCACCAACCACCAGAGCCCATGTTTCACCTTTCAACCATACGCTATGAATAGATTAGCACTAAGCAAGTCTCACTACAAGAGGCTAAGGAGAAATAAACTGAAAAAAGACATAGAAGTTACTTGGCACTGATTGCCTTCGCCAACTATGACAACAATGGTGCAAGGTAAATATGATCGCATGAGGAAAACAATAAAATCTATTCTTTCAACACATTTACTAACAAATTACAAAAGGTCAGTCACCCTTTAATGCAGCGGTCTTAGGAGAAAAGCGCTATGGGATGTTACATGCACAAAAGAAGGCTTAAGTGACATAACCAGCTGTCCAGTACTGATCCCAAACAACTATTAGCAATCTAAACATGTCAGCAAATCATTAAAATACATTGTTCAATTTCTGGAGCAGATTTAGGAGGTAAAAATTCAAAATTGAACTCACCCTGAGAGATTAAATGAGCGCAAAGCAGTGGTAGACCAGCCTGGTGCCTTGGGAAGCACTTGCTGATGTGTCACTGTAGGAATGCTGTTCCCCTTCCACCCCATGTATGGAGGTACTCAGGACTATATATAGCATTTACCCCCCAAAATTTACACTCATTTCACACTTTGGGCAAGAACTGACAACTGTGAATATGGATACAATTTTTATCTAAATATTTTAGATTTTATTTGTTTGATTGGACATAACTTGTTAAGATTCAAATGACTGATTTGCATTCTTGTACTTAAAACATGGGCAAATTCATGTTTCTGAAATTGCAGTATTACATAAATGAGGCAGAAATTGCAAAGATATATTTTTCCAATTATAAAAGCGCTTAGACAAGTAAAGTAGTCCAGCAAAACAAAAATAATGTGTATGAGTCACTTCATTGTTAACAAATTGCATTTGTGTAGATGAAAAATGATTAAATGAACAAATTAATTAAGAATTAATAAATTGAAAATCCTTTAAATGAATTAAAAGCAACAAAAACAAAAGCCTAATTCGATCTGTGAATCATTACTTAGTCCCAAGTTATCAATGAAGAAAAAGGCTGAAGAAAAGATACACCTGAATATTGATTTGTCCAAAAAAACCAAAACAAAAAAAAACAAAAACAAACTCACCTTTGTAAAATTGTGAAAAATTGAACAAATTAAATGAACACAACTTTAAAATTTACTGTAGTTGAGTGATTCTTTCTTGCAGCTCCCAAAGACAGATACCCCTAGAGCCCTTTTTAGGTTTTCAAGACGCCATCCTCCTCAGTTCACACTTGTCGGCAGAAGTCAAGACTATTTTTAACGCACCACTGATACTCTGAGGCCTTCAATTCTTACAGTACAAGACCACCATACCTAAATATACCCAGCATTCAAATGACTAAAGCTCTGTGGGAAAGACTGGAGAGGAAATAAAGAGCTTCAGATTCAGAGGCAGCTGCAGTTTGCCTTTACAGCCTCCAAACAGACAGCTGTCATGTTGTTCTAGACTTTGTTTAGATTTACAAAGGTGTTAAAAAAAGGAGTGGTTACTTGTAGTGCCATTATTGTAGGGCCAGTATATTTTCATACTGATACTTTTAAATCTATATGTATTCCTCTATTGAACACATTGATATTTCAGAGCTAATGATGATAGCTCTGTATTTATCTTGAATGGTCCCACTGAGGAAGGACTTTAGGTTGAGTCTGTGCCAAAAACAGCAATGGACACAAAACAATGTTTTTTTTTTTTTGGTTTTGTTTTTGGCTAAATGTATGTGTAGAATCATACCAATTGTATGTTTTCTTGCCATCCTGTGAGCGACTATTAAATGTTTTAGTGGGAAAAGGTAAATTTTTTGCTCCACAACAAAAGTGGGGTGAACACAGACACATCAGCAGGAGTCATAAAAGATTCCTCTGAGTTTGAAAACTTCAGTCTCATGACTAACCAGCTTGTACCTTGAGGTTGCATTTGTTTTTGAGCAAAAAAGTAAAAATGTTAAGCCCTTACAGCTTTCAGCTTTTATTTTTCTAATTTGCTTGAGACTGAGAGGTGGTATATTTTGATAAGTCAAGAAAACACATGGTTTAATATAACCTTATTTTAATTCATATATTACTTCTTTCTGACCAATTATAAACTTTCCAGAAGCTGGGTTTCTCTGGTGGCAAGTTTATAAACAGTCCAAGTTGCTGAACCTGACTACAATAAAATATTGTGTTACTGCTGGTATCTATCTAGCCAACTTTGTTCTTTCTTTCTTTCTTTCTTTCTTTATTTTTCATCAATTATCCAAATACTAAAATAATTCATTTCTGACAATATCATCAACTACCATATGCCAATAATACATATTTCTCAATTGCAAAAAGCAATACAAGCTTAATGGGAAACTGGTGAAAATAACAAAAACCTAACCTTGCAAAATGAACTCACCATTTTCTTCAGAGCAAGCTTTGCGTCCAGTCATGTTTCAAGGTTTGATTTGTTCTGCCCTCTAGTGTCCAAACTGAAGACGGCAGTTCTCTTAGAAAAAAGAAAACATTTGTTAAGAGTAATACAAGTAGCCATTTTATTATAATTTTCCAAATTTGTAAATAGTCAGATAATAATCACTCATGTAAATTTATGTTTCAGATTTTTCCAGTGTTATTTAAAGCGCACAATGTAACTTTTCTGAGGGAGGATATTGTTCCTACTTGTCTCTATGGAGATGTTTTTGTTTTAAATGTTTGCTGTGGCATTACAGTAAATATATTTATCTTGCATTTAACTCTTATATGAGAGGACTTGCCTGCTTTGGGTGGTCACCGTATGTAGAGAGTATTGTGAATAAGTAATGCAAATAAGTATTGTGAATAAGTGACATAGAACAACACATTCCCTAACACCAGTGTTGGGGAGTAACGGATTACATGTACCGCCGTTACGTAATCAGAGTACAAATTATGAGTAACTGTATTCCGTTACAGTTACTGTTTCAATGAGTGGTAATTGGATTACAGTTACATTGCTGAAATAAGTGGATTACAAGGCGGTATTTTCCTGTTTTCACATTTTGTGCTACATCCCATTTATTTATTTTTTTATTTCGGTAATTCCACTCATTGCAGGAAACCCAAACAGAACGCGGCAATAAGAGCGATGTAAACGTCATGTTAAAGTTGGCGGTGTCAGTCACACAGTGGAAGCAGCAGTGCATTGGTAAAAACGCATTTGTGTCTTGGAAATTCTTCTCCCGATGTGAGATATATATAAAAAAACAAATATAAAATCGCCTACAACTTAAATGTGAAACCGGAGCTACTGGCACCGGTGAAAACAACCTGCACTACTGTCCTATAGTGACCTGCGACATGAGTGGACGTGCACACAAACACACACAAACACACACCTTCATCATCGTCATCAACCTGAGAACCCGCGGACCACGTCTCCTTCCGTAGTTACAGCGCGGACACCGCCGTCTCGTGCGCCGCGTGTGGACCGTGTTTTCTCGCGTAAACCGCGCTTCCTCCTGTGCGCCTCTAAACCAGAACTAACACCAGGACTAAACCAGGACTAATACAGGACTAAACCAGAATACACCAGGACTAAACCAGGACTAATACAGGACTAAACCAGGACTAACCCAGGACTGAACCAGGTTTAAACTAGGACTAAACCAGAACTAAAGACCTGGTCTAGACCTGGTCTAAACCAGGTCTAAAATCAAGAGTAAACCAGGTCTAAAAATCAGGACTAAACCAGGACTAAACCAGGTCTAAACAACACGACACCTAACAGTAGGTTGACATAATTTAATGTGATCTCATATAAAAAATAATTTCTCTATCAATAATATTTTTTAATATTAAGGAAAGGCTTATCTTGTTACTGTCTTTTAACAGACAAAACCTCTTATATTAAGATATCCTGGTCTTTGTTTCTCTACAGCAAACAGTTGCTTATTCATGGAGACTTGGGCTCAGACAATTTGAAGACAACAAACAAGAATTTTCAGGATGTGGTTGCTACATTCATGTCGTTTAAAAAAACATGACAATATCAAGTAATCCAAAGTAATCAGATTACGTTACTCACTTTAAGTAATTTAATGGATTACGTTACAAACTACATTTTGGGGTGTGTAATCTGTAATATGTAGGGGATTACATTTTAAAAGTAACCTTCCCAACACTGCCTAACACATTACAGTGCACTTTCTGGATTCCTGAGAGTGATGACCCCTGACCTCTGACCTGTTTGGACAGAAGCACAGAAGGTTATCAGAGCGTGAGAAGATCATAGGAAAGAGGCACAGGGAAGTATTAGGGGAGCTAGGTCAAATGCAACTGACTATTTGTCCAACCACATAAAAGGACAGTAGTCAATAAATTACAGTGCCAGGGCTTCGGATGAGATTCTGGCTGTGGGGTTTAACTGAGGTGGTGTGGAGGGATGTTGCTGAATTTCTATACTATAATCAATAAAAACCTGAGACGTTGTCTTGTATCAAGGAGTCTGATTTATTGAAGCAATTGTGTGAACAATCACAGAACTACCTGTCCCTGCTATAAAGAGTCTGTCCTTAAGATGTAACCAAAACAATCCATACAGAGTCTTTATACATAGGCATAGGGCATACGAATGATGCAAATACATAGGCTAAAACAGACTAAGATATAATACTACCCCAGAGAGGAGAGTGGGTCACCCCAAGGCTTCGTCAACACAAGTCAAGACACAACAATCAGTGGAATAACAAGTTAGTGTTAACATGAGCAATAGACTTTTATGGAGGCACAAGGCCAGAGTGTCTACATAAGATAGCAGGATTAGTGCAAGCTATTAGTTAGCTAGTTGCAAAACCCACAACCATTAACAACTTAAACCCAGTAAAGAGTAAAGATTTCCATAACAGGGATTAAAGAGGATATTGTAAAAGCGGCACAATTTTTATTTCTCTTTCCATAGAGGCCAAAGGAAAAAAAAAAAAAAAAAATATATATATATATATATATATATATATATATATATATATATATATATATATATATATATATATATATATATATATATATATATATATATATAATACACACATACACACACAACATGGCAGGAAACACCAAGAAATCCTACCAATAGCTTGAGAGGGCTGGTCTGAAGGACAGGAGTAGGCCTTGAGCACCTGAGCAATAGAGGCCCATATCTACCTCAGCAGACCAAGGCTGTGCAAAGGGGCTCCTGAGACAGTCCAGCACATAACTGCAGTGTAAGTTGCTGGCAGGGAAAGGATTCAAGGAGCAACATAACCAAGTGGCGGTCATAGTGTACAGAAACATCTGTGCGGAGTACGGGTTGGAGACCCCAAGATCAAGGTGGGAAAACACCTCCAAAGGTTGTGGAGAATGACTGAACCAAGCTCCGGTGGGACTTCCAAATACAGACACAGTGGTAATAATGAACCATCCGGACATAATGGTGTTGGATAAACAACAGAACAAATCTGTGGTGGTTGCACTGCATTACTAAGTGGTGGTAATATCAGGAAAAGGGAACATGAGAAACTAAAGAAATACCAGGGCTCAAGGAAAAAGCTGGAGAAGGCCCGAAGGTGAAGGCGTCACTGGTGCCTATTGTGATCAGAGCACTCGGGGCTGTAACCCCTAAACCGGAGGAGTGGCTACAGCAGATACCAGGAAAAACTTCAGACATCTCAGTTCTGAAAAGTGCAGTACTAGGAACAGCAAATACTGCACAGAACTCTCAGAACTGTATATATATATATATATATGTATATATGTGTGTGTATACATATATATATACACACACACACACACACACACACATACACACAGACACTGTATATAGTGTGTGCGTATGTATGTATGTTTTATTTATATATATATATTTTTTGTCTATTTTTGCACTAATATGCTAAAAATGTTATGAACTGAAACCTGAAGGTCATAAGGGAAGGTTACAGAGCAGACGCCATGACACTTCCATTCACAGAAAAAGACAAATTTGCTCATTTCAGGGCATATCCAATGAAGAGAGTGCATGTGTATTCATTCATGTAAAAGACCTCAAGGGAGAGGGGGGAGAAAAGGAGAGAGGGAGGAGAGGAGGAAAACCCTGAGTCAAGAAGAGTTAAAGAGAAAAACCAGGACAACACGAGGACAATACGTCACAGAGTCATGAGGCTGTGATGTCACTGAGCTGCAGAGGGGAGGGAGGGAGAGAGAGGGAGAGACAAAGGGAGATGAGGGAGAGAGCGAGAGAGAGGGAGGAAGAGAGAGAGGGGGGGGGGGGGTAAGATGAGGTTACTCCAGGATACGTGCTCACAATGTTACATGTAGAGGTGTAAGACCTATTGAAAAATTTATATCACAATTGTTGTTTAGGAGATACGCAAAATTGTAACATAAGCCATCTGAAAAAGGCTGCAAAAACTGCTGGTTTAAACATTAGATGATTAGATGATTCAAAATAGAAGATAAAAGTGTTCATTTCCAAATAAGGGAATAAGATAATACTACTGTACTTTTGTTGTTAATTTTGTAGTAAATTCATTCTTTTTAATACTTCACTTCATTTCCAGGCATTTTAACACATCCCTGATACATTGCTATAATAGCGTTAGTCTACTTTCTCATTGTGGCCTACCACAAGTTATATTATGGTAATTTGGGCTGCTTATTAAATTTGCAAATAAAATGCTATTTAATCACAATCAAATCAAAATCACAACTTGAATAGATGCAATTAGCAAATCACAAAGGCAATTTTTTAAGTGCCATCATTTTCTCAAAAATATTCAGTCTTATTTCTTAAAAGTTTTACTTGTAGTGTTATGTAATGTGATTGTTGTATTAGTTTGTCAGTTTATATTTCAGTCTTTTTGCCTATTCTTCTAGACACGTTTAAAATAAAAACTTTGAACTATTATTAAAACATAAATCACAAATTTTCTCACAATGCTTGTCAGAAATTGGAGTTGGATATTTTCCCCAAATTGTTCAGCACGAGTGGATGATATTTTGAGCTGTGTCAAGTGTGGAGTGTTAAATCTCTGTGACCACTTTGAGGGGCTGACAGTGAAGGTCACAGCAGATAAACCTGTAGTGTCTCTAATGCCCTTCAGCTCTGTCTTTCTCCCTCTTTCACTCGTCTCACCCCCATGTCTCTCTACCTATATCTTTTTGTCTCTCTCCCTCTCTATGCCCCTGTATATTTTCATCTGCCCTTCTGTCTGCCTCTATACACTTCTCCCACTCTCCTACTCCATTCTCCTCTCATAATTCTCTCACCCTATACGCTCCTCTGTCTCCTTATGTCCTTCTGTCTCACCTCCCTCGCTCTTTACCTTTTTCTACACCCTCTCTCTCTCTCTCTCATGTCTCTATCTCCACCCCTATCGTTGATCTTCTCTCTCTCATCACTTCCTCTTTTCCTACTCTCTTGCTACTCTGGTCCACTCCTCTCCGGCTCCCTAGCTTTGTCTCCATATATCTTTTTTCTCTCTTCACCTCCTCTCCCTCTCCTGTATCTAACCCACTCCTCCTCTCTTTCTTTCTCCCAATCCATCCTCCTCTTCTCTCACCCCTCAGCTCCCTTTCTTCTCTCCATCAGTCTCCCATTTCTCCCTATCTCTTTCTATCCCTCACCTCCTCTCTCAACCCCCTCCCTTTCCGTGAGGCAGCAGGAAGCCTATGACATCACTGCACTGCGTCCTGCCCCGCTGCACGTCCACCCAAGCCCCCTCCCCTCTCTCTTCTTCTCTCTCCCCCTCCCCTCTCCCTCTCTCATCTCACGCTCCAGTGTTTATCCAATCACGCTCCTCGGTGGGGGCTGGGCAAAGCTCCACTAGCACCACAAGCGTTATCCACCATTGGTCTTCCTCTCCAATGCTAGCACAGGAAGCCGGTTTCCTCGTGGGCGGGGCTTCGTGAGGCTGACCCAACCTCTATGCGATTCCAAGTGTTTGCGCCTGTCGCAGGGTGTACAGGCACGGCCATCTCTTGCTTCCCTTTTTAACCTTGCAAATAGCTTAATATATCATCCATTATTTTACATTCAGACCTGTTTAAATAACAGGGGGTTAGGGGGACAGCAGACAATTAGAAATACAGGCCTTTTTTGGTTTAGTCTTTCTCTCTTGACTCATTGGACACTGACAGCACCAGGATGATAGCCGCTCAGCTTCTGGCCTACTACTTCACTGAGTTGAAGGATGATCAGCTCAAAAAGGTAAGCCCCATGCTGTAGTATTGCAGTAGTACAAGTATGTAGCCAGTACTGGTATTTTTGCATGGTATAGGGACATGTCATGGCAGTCTATAAGAGAGGCAACCATGCAGTCTGACATTCAAAAATAATGATGCAGAATTTGTGAACAAGAACAAGTCATAATTTGTATAAAACATGGTAAATTTGTTAGATTTGGGTACATTTTGGCAGTAGGTTTTGGATGTCCTTGAACAGGCCTGGACAGGGATGGTGTGCCTAGTGTTTCCGGAGCGGTGGTTGCCATAGCGGCAGAAGCAGACAGGTGTCAGAGGAAAGTCGTGAGCTGCTTCTTCGGTCTTAAGGGAAGAATACAAGAACATTTTGAACAAAAGACTATATTTAAATAGCAGTTTCAGTATGATTTATATAAATGTATTTTATATACAGAATAATTATACTTACTTATACTTATTATTTTATGAGGCTTGGTTTGCAAAGATAAGATGATACTGTATTACTCTAATAGTGGAAAACCAGTTACTTGCTTTTAATACACAATTAAGTGCAGACAGCAATCAAATAACTATTGTGGAAAATAAGATAATATATAAAAGATTAGGAAATTCCAGTGTTGCAATGTAGGGTATATAAAAACAGAACATAACAAAAATCTAGATAAATCACTAAAGTATTATTTTTTAAATTATAAAACCTACTTAAGCAGAAATGTTAAATGTTGAGATTTTAGCATTCAGTATGTACTTGTGAATGTGGCTTAGTAAATAACTTAATATTAGATGCTGGTAGTTGCTTCTGGCCAAAAAAGTTTAAATAAAAGTTTAAATAAAGTCAATAGAACTGATATCTTTGAGATAGGAATGTGACAATATTGGCAATATTAGATGTTGCAATATAAGAAGTCTCAAAATGTTATCAAGAACTTTCACAATGTCAAATGTTTAGCTTCTGGGCCTGCCTCTCATTGTTGGAGCTGAATGGTAAAACAACTAAGAAACTTCACAGACCATGATACTTTGCTCTATCCACTGCAGCCAATGTGATGAAATAACTTGCATCTGATACAAAATAGGATGGTTGCTCTAAATAATGTCCAGAAAAATTGACCACATCCCTTCCTCACCTTCCCATTAAACCATAATAAATACTGAGCCACAAAATTTGAATAATTACAAGGTGTTTTTTGAGAAGTGGCTAGATTTGCACTCAATGAACTGAGAGGGGGAATGATGCAACTACAGGCATCAGGAGATTAAGGACATTCTACAAAAGGTTCCATAAAAATCAACTATAAATGGTTTTGTACACCCTCTCAAGACACCTTGATGTACAAAACCCCCTCAAAACACAGTGATCTATTATTACACAAACATATAAAAAAGATTAATAAAAGGTGGACAGCATTAAATAAATAATAATGTATAATGTACAGAAGTAATGTTTTTTATTGTACAGAAGTTTTGGAGTGGGGGTGCATGCCAACGACAAACTTTGTCCTTCCTGTATTAGGGGTTCTGTATGGAATTTAAGTAATTCTCAATTTGGTTTTGATGTATGTGCTAGTGTGAATGCACCTGTAGTAAAGTAAACTGAGATTTTTGTAAAAATTCATTGTAAGATTTTTGCCAATGGGCCATTTTGTTATATTTGAGTGTGGCTGTATAGTTTTGGCAGAGGTGACATTGCATAATCTGAGGAGAGGCAGCAGGTGCACTAGTGCTATTGTCAATTCAGCCAAATGTGACAGGTACAATATTGCTGTGCTTTTCTGCATTTGGGAGGCCAATATATTAGCTATAAATGCTAAATGCTAAATGCTAATGCGTTTGCAAGACTAGTAAACACATTTCTACTTTTTTCTATAGTTATATAAATTTTGTTAAATTTTGATGTTTTCTTCATCTATTAGATGTAGATATAGTTTTATATTTTGGAATTACATAATTTTAAATGGGATTATAATCGATCCAATCAATTCAATATGTCCAAAATACATTACAGCCCCATGTTCTTTATCCATTGTACACCAACTTTAAACATAGAAAATCCATGTTTGTTTCCATGTCTAATGTCATTATTGTCAGTGTTGTCTGTACGTCTCCTCATTTTCTTGTCACCAGCTCACACAGCAGATTGAGTAAATTAGTTATTCTTAGGCAGATGTTTGGCATTAGTGAAATCTGAGCTCAACACTGTCTCAGGTTAAAATGGAGGAAATACAGAGGGTTTGTGAGACTGAAGTGGGTCAATAAAACTCAAAAAAATATAATTAATTAACAAAAAATAAAAGAATGATCCAAAGCTGCAACGCATTTTAAGAAATACTAGACAAAATGTAAAGTTTGTTGTTCTCAGAAAAGTATCAGTACTTGTCATTTAGTAAGTTTAATACATTAAACTTCATTATCAGACACTAAGAGAAGCATGTAACACACTACAACAAATTTAGCCAGAACTAATTTGCATTGTCTCTCCGTACTAGAAGAGCTTTTACTAAAACAACAAATTCTCATATTTGATAATACTGTTAAATTAACTTGTAAATAAGGGAGGAACACTTCTTTCCCATGTTTGCACTGCATTAAAGCTACAGAAATTAAACTTGAGTATCATACAATAATTTACATGACTCTCCATCCTCTGGTTCACTGCTGATTCTTCAGGTCCAAACATGAACTCCCCTTTGCCCCATAAGCTCATCCAAGCACCTCATAGGGTAATGACATGAAAAAAGTGCATAGGACACTGGATTTGAGTGATGTGATGTCAGGTACATTTTGAAAATTAATTAGAATTTCACAAGCAAGGGAGTTACTATGGGTGTGATCACACTTTATCATTATTTGGTCCTAAATCTAACCCATTTTAGTCCTAGTGTGGACCCGGTTTGGTCATGTTCTGGTCTTTGATTAAGTCCACCAATTTTGATATGGTGAATGTGCAAATATAAATCCACATAATGTTAGTTCAGCATAATTATACAATGTTTTGTTTTCATTTTAGTTTTAATATTATATAATATAACTTCATTTAAAATAGTCAAGTGATAAGATGTCAAAAGCCAGTGAACTATTTGTACAGTCTATTGGGAATGCAGTAGTTGTACTAAACTGGGATTAAACCAAGAACTAAACATGGACGAGACTTGGACCAAATCTGGACTAAAATTGGACTAAACCAAATCTATATTAGGACTCAAACTGGTCCTAGCCAGGATCAAACGGAGACAAGTGAGAATGCACCCTAAAATAATGAAATGCCTATTATATTAGTAGTCTAAATGTATTTACATTTTACACTGGCTAGCTCTAATGGCTTCACTAGTGTTAACCATGTAGATTAAGCACTTGGGCCAGGTGAGAATGTGCTACTCTTTGGTTGATGGGTGAATAATCAAGCAACTATGCCACTTCTGTACAATCAAAACACAAATAAACACTTACAATATTCACTCTGTGAGTAACTTTATCTCTCCTTACAACGTAATCTTTAAATTAAATGTCAAAGCATCACAGCTGTCTCTCTCCCTCTTCCTAACATGGCTAATAGAACGTACATTACTTTACATTGGTTGATATAAATAGGAATTGTAAAGAGCAGGGTACAATATGGCTGCAGTGTTCTGCACAGAATAGATTTTGTGGTAGACTGTACCCTGTGGCATTCACCGCACAGTTACATAACCCACCTCTAGAGCTCAAATCCTCCAGCCAGTGTAATTAATAAGGTTTACTATGGCACCAAACCAAGGGCAAGGGAAGACGGGGTATTGTCTTTTAACTGGGACAAATGTGTAGATGTTTTAAAAAAAAAAATGTGTTGTAATATTTGTATTAGGTAAATGTACTTGGTTGTAGTATTAGTCGAAACATGATGGTAAATAATTATTAACTAACGTAATCAGTAGTTACTGACAGTAATACTTTCACAAATGTACATGGAGCTAATTGCCCTCAGTAAAATAATTCTTATTTTGATAGTGATCATAGTTAGGCATTAGTACTGGTAGTAGAAGTCTAGCAGTTGTAGTAGTAGTAGCAGAAGTAGTAGCAGTAGTAGTAGTAATAGCAGCAGTAGCAGTAGTAATAATAGTAGTTTTAGTCCAGGTTTAGGCCTATTTTAGTTCCAATCTTAGACCTGATTTAGTCCAGATTTATGGTCTGGTCCTGCTTAGAATACCTATCATCCCATTTTTACTTAACAGTTTTGAGAATTGGTAAACATTAACAGAACTTACATATTAAGTTCTAAATATAAACCGTATGTTGAAACAGTGTTATATATTGTAGTGTCCTATTGACCAGTGACCACTACCATCACCAATCAATAAGCAAGTCCCAAAAAGTCATCTGAGGCTGTTAACATGGAACATGGAAGTGCCCTTGTGCACTTAATCTCTCCTTTTCTAATACACTTTACATAATTTTTCTTCACTCTTAGAGAAAAAATAGGATTAACATTAAGAGAATTTAATTAAATATAAGTTTTAGGCCATATGTTTAACAACAGAAGCAAAAAGGAGTGATAAAATAAGGGTGTGACAAGACAAATTTCATTATCAAGAGTAGACACATTGCCAGTGGTGAAAGACTTACCCGATTTTGTTACTTAAGTACAGATACCAGAGCAATAAAATACTCAAGTAAAAGTATTGCATCTACTGAAGGAAAAGTATTAAAGTACCTGTTTAAAAATGTATATAAAGAGTAAAAAGTAAAATATTTGGAGATCTAGCTTCAAACTTCAAATGTAGAGATTTTGATAAAGAATTGTGCTAAATCAATTGTTTTTTCTAGCTCTTTTTATTTGTATATTTTTGTTTGCTCAAACTATGGACACGTGAAAAATAATAATATCATGCCTTAGGGACCTTTGTTTGAAAACTTTTTCTTTGTGCAGTTATAACTGCCATTGAGAAGTAACATAGACCCAACATGCACTAAAACACATAAAACATAGTTCCGTATGGTAGTTCTAATGATGATTTAAGCAATATCATAGACTACATGGTGACCTAATTACTGCAGGTTCACATGAGGACAGCATGTGTAAGATTTATTCTCTGTTAGTTTCAATGAGCACTGAATAAATTAGCAGCAATAGTGTTATCCCCATTTAGCTTGACATTTGTGGTCTGATTTTGTATTTAGCAAAGAAATTCTTAACAGAGATTTTTGTGTTTTGTTCTATTCATGTATTGCCATTTTATATATATATTTTTTCCATACATTCTCCACATTCTGCTACCCGCTGTCTGTTCTTGATTGATTGCTGATCGCTTCCTAATCTAAAATCAATATAGATCCTTAGGCCTAACACGACAGAAAGCCCATAACTTTAGTGACTGTAAGCGAAAAACAATTTTGTGTTTAGACAGGTTAGCAATTTAACTGGTGAAGCTGTGATGTTGCTTTAGGCCCACACCTCCAGCTCAAGGTATTCCCAATCTAACTAAAATAATGTTATTCAAGAAGATGATTTAAGAAAATGTGGCGTAAATAAGGTGTAAAATTTTGTCTCCAGCTCAAAATGACTCAAGCTAACTACTGATGATTAGAAATAACTAGGTCGTTTAAAGACATGACCTGTGCATCTATTAGTCAACTAAAAGGGGTATGACAAAAGCTCTAAAACTATAAAGCAGCTCTATGATCTGACCCAGTGTACACTCACAAGGTAACGAGCTTATATAGGTTCACGGAATAACTACAATGTATACAGAAATGTACGACAAAACCACATGTTTTATGTAAAAAACAACAACAACAACAACAAAAAAACATGTATATACATAAATAACTAAAAGCTACTTCACATGCATTCCCCTTAATTGTACAGCCTTAATCTGATCTATCCTCTTTGTCTAACAGGTGTTTTCTGTGCTGTATTTTGTATGTTATGATTTGTATGTTCTCTTATACGTGTGTTGTTGTGTTGTGTTGTTATAGATTGACAAGTACCTGTACTCGATGCGTTTCTCTGATGAGACGCTCAAGGACCTCATGAACCGCTTTAGGAGGGAGATGGAGAACGGACTCAGCCGTGACACAAACCCCACCGCCACCGTCAAGATGCTGCCTACCTTCGTCCGCTCCATCCCTGATGGATCAGGTACACAACACTGTTATTATCACTACAAAAATATTAGGGCTGCAAGATTACAAGATTTCCCCACAAACAAAATATTCAGTCTTCTTCTGCACAAAAAAATGCTAATCCTCTAATTTTCATCTGTACAGACAGGTTAATGAAATGTGATTTCCAGAAGTACACACAGCTTTGTGAGTGCTTAGTGGGGGGGGGGTTCAAATTATGTTTGAACAAAAAGCTGAAATCGTTAGTCCTTATAGTTGAGAATGTTTTAGAAGATTTTAGACATCAGTATTGTTAAAACAAGAAAACAAAACAATTGTGAATATTCTTCTACAGTAAACAGATTAATGTGCCTATCTACAGGAGTTAGGTAGTTGACACCTAGCTGAACAATATGTTTTCAAATAACAATGATGAATAGAGGCCAAATATGGGAAGAGGGCAATGTGTTTACAGATGCAGCCACTTTTTGCATTCACTTTCTGGCAAAAAAAAAACCAGGGTGAGTGCTGAATAGCAGTAGTGTTGCAAGCTTTATGCGCGTTTGGTGAATGCATGAACCTAACCTAACCCATAAACTCATCAGAGGGATCTGTGTACCGCACACCACAGTTTGAGAAGCACCTGTGTTATACAACTCCCTCCACAGACAGTGAAACAGTGGGTTCCCAGTGTGTCATTTCTGTGGCCTTTAGGAGAAAACTGCTGATGACGCTCTCCTTTTGTGCAGCGCTGGCCTGGTTTGGTCACTGTTGTTTAATGTGCACTGTCAAACACTGCATCATCCAATCCAGACAAGTAAACACACATAAAAAAAAATCAAAAAAATCAGGAACCTCCTACTGTTACTTAATTTAAAGACCTAGTTTAGTCCTGCTATAGTGCTGAAATAGTTACATTTTAGACTAAGTTGTAATGGGTTAGGCCTGTCCAGTTTCAGAAGAAATCCTAGTCTAGACCTAGTGTAGTCCTGGTGAAGTTTCACCCTTGTCCAGTGATTGTTTAGTAGTTGGACTACTAGTGATCCTGATTAACTAACACTTAATTTAGTAATATTGAAAAAAGTACACTTTTTAATTTCTGCTACTGTTGTGGTTTAACAATAAAAATTAAGTAGAAATGCTCAAATACTGTATCTTGCATTCAATTATTTACACATTTTTATTACTAAGGAATATATGCAGGCTCTCCTCTCCACAGATTTGACATAATTAATTTCACATGGTGGTGACAGATAAGTTTAATTTGACACCATGGAATATTCCAGGCAAAATAATATGATATCCATGGAAACAAGGACAGACAGTTGGAAAACAGCCCTAGAGCTAACCCCTTAATAAAGTAGGTACTAAGCCTCAGTCATCTTTAACAAATTGTCTATTCGTGCTCTTTAGGCTAAACATAAAAGTGTAGTTATTATCTAAAGTGGTACAGAAATTTCTATTTAGTCAAATTTCTATATCAGTTACCCTCTAATTAAAGTTGCATTTCTTGTCCCTCCACTGTCTTTTAATTTAATATATGGCTATAAATGTCAAAAGGGATTATCACATTTGGAGTCTGTGCACTCACATATTGAGCTACACGTGCAGACGTTTGGCAGAGGGAGGTTAATACAGGGCATACTGCTCTTGCTTTCACATATCAAAATGAGGTCACTGTCATTCCTGTGCGGTCAAGGGGATGGACAATGCTAAAGCGCTAAAGCTAACACCGTCCAGGCAGCAGCCATGGAGTGACTGGCATTCTACTGTTACTATTTGGAGTTCTTTGGGCTACGGGCATTTGACAGGACAGATATATGAGTAAGAGCAAGAGTTAGGCCACTAAGATTTTTACATAGTTCTTTGAAAATACTAAACAGTTTTGGATTTCATTTTCTTCTTTAGTTTGTCTCGTTTATATTTTTAACTTCATTTAAATATTTTCTTTGTAGAATATGACCCACAAAAATGATTAGGAATAGTGAGATATGGATTTAAGAGTAAAAATTAAGAGTTTAAAATCTTAATAGGTCCTCACTAGTCTGAAAATATGAGGACTTTGAAAAAATAGCAATATCTGGGAAATCACTTTAATATCACAGACACCAATTTTGGATCTGATATACTGCCCATCTCTAATAAACAAACTGTAGATATGCTTAATGGCATACTGTGGAACATTCCAAGCCCCTAGTAAAATCTCAGTGGAGACAAGCAAACAGTGGACCAGAAAAGTTACATAGTGTGTCTTAAAAAAGTAATAAATAAATAGAATGTTTAATCTCCACTGACAGTACTGGACACTGACATTGCTATTGCCTATTAATAGTGTATTTCCAACCTAACTATTGCCTCATTAACAATGTCCAATCTCCCTCCATGTACATTGTAGCATTCACCTCTGGCCTGCCACTGATCCTCTTGGCTCTGTTGTGGTGGAGTCTATTTTTACTCTAGGAGCTGTGTCCCTGCACTGCCCCGGGATGTCAGCCTGAGAGCTAATTCTAGGTCTGTCCAGTGTTTATCAACAGCTAAAGACAAACCTGACTTTGGCCTCAAGTTAAACAGTGCTATTTGAAAAACTTGGGATTGCATTTGCATTTATGATTACTTAAGTACACAAACATAAGATTTTAACTATGATAATATGAGTTACTGAAAAGTCTGATTCCTGCAATGTGTGTATTGTAATTATTTTAGATTTACATTATACACTATAGCTCCCCGCACCCAAAAAGAAATACATTCACCCACTACAGGAATTCCTCTGCCCTCTGGTTGGAGGTACAGGATTCTCTGTGAGGTGCAGGAGGGTACATTTTGGATGAGACCTGATCCACTCAGAAATCACATTTCTGAACAGCAGGTGCCACTGAGTGTACTGCAATGTCTATATTAATGGGTCTACATTGTTATGTTGTTGGAGGGAAAATGTGGGTCTAAAGTCTAAAGTCTATAAAAAATTAAATTGTCTATGATGCAAAGTTGTGATGTATTTAGCATGTAGGATTTACATCAGATGCCCTAACTGCCACTATTTAGCATTTGGGCATGGGAACAACATAAAAAAGAAGTGGACAGTTCTGAGAGAATTAAAAACAGTAAATTAAAATTAAAGCCGCAAGCAGCGTCGAACGGGCCTCGCCCGCCCGCGCCCGCGAACGCCGCGCCCGCAAATGGTGCGCCCCACCCATACCATACCCTAAACGCCGTGTCTGCAAACTCTATGCCTGCAAATGGTGAAATGACATAGTACACCTTTAAATGTTCTTTGCACACTTGCTGGCCAATCTTGAAAAATGCCCATGTCAGTAATATATGTTTTTGCTTCTAGTCATTAATAGAATTGAATTCCTAAATTTGGTACAAATCCGACAATGTTGACATTTCATGTCTATGGTAGGGGGCACTATAGTGTTCACTTTTCATATGTTTTATAGTGTATTATATTCAGGTTGAGATCACACATTAGTGATTCAAATTTCAGCACGATCAGACTAAGCATGTGCATGTAATATATTTTTTTTATGTTTTTTGGAGGAGTCTTTGCGCCCCTGCTGGCCAACAGTGAAAAATTCATCATGTCCATAATATACTTTTTTACTCGTAATTATGCATAGAAATTAATTCCCAAATTTGGTGCAGATCCGATAATGTTAGCATTTCATGTCTATGGTAAGGGGCGCTATAGTGTTAATTTTTCATATGTTTTATAGTGTATTATATTCAGACTGAGATCACGCATTAGTGATTCAAATTTCAGCACAATCGGACTAAGTCTGTGCGAACAGGAGCAAATAATGTCACCTTGAAATTAGCCAAAATTTTGATCAAAATTTGCAGCCTCGCCGCACGTAAACCGTGACAGTTATCAACATAATTTGGATAACTTCAGATGTTCCACTTCTCTAGATGATGTACGGTGATTTTCAGCCCTGTGGGTGAAGCGTCTTCAGAGGAGTGTGTTCAAATGCAACGTCAGCGAAAATGTGGACTCAAACTTCAATCCAAGATGGCCACCTTCTGGTTTGTCAGGAGGCGTGGCCATAATAATATTTTTTGTTTGTCTTCACATGACGAATGTGTGTACCGAATTTCGTGGCTCAACGGCAAAGTTGATGTCGGGACCTCTCCCATAGGCGCAATGTATTTTGACTTTTCGAGGTGGTGCGAGGTTTTTTTCTGCGCACGAAACCTCTATGTTATCGAATTTTTCGCCACTGCTGAATATTGTGCCAAGTTTGGTGAGTTTTTGAACATGTTTAGGGGGTCAAATTACAGTTCAAAGAGCATAATAAAAAAATATATATATATTTTTTTTTTGCAAAAACAATATATCCGAAAACATTAGAACAACATATTATACATTTTTTGAAAGCTCTCGACCCTCCCCACGTCACGTGGGGTCATTGGTGAGTGACGGGCGCGTCTGCACCATCTCATCGGGGTCGACCCCTGACCTCCCATTGACTTCCATTCATTTTAGCAGTAGTAAATATGGCTCAGGCCTTGGGCGTGGGTTACTGGGATACTGCTGTTCGTGCCGGGGGCGACCGAGGACAATGTTGCATGTCATCCTGTCGCATTCGGCCATGCGCATGTTGCTCCCCATTCGCTCCGCCTAGCGGAAGCAATAGGCCCTACGCCCTGTCGGGGCTCGGGCCTAACAAGTCGCCCAGGAACCCTTAATCCCAAAAGGCATTATAAAGATACAAGTTAACAAGTACAGTATGTGATGAAAAGCAAAATGGCAATCTACACATCATGATATGAGCTTTTGCCATTGTAAGTTTGAAACTTTCCACTACTTTTAATCTTCATTTTGTGTTCATTTTCACAGAAAAGGGAGACTTCATTGCTCTGGACTTAGGTGGGTCAAACTTCAGGATCCTCAGAGTGAAAGTGACACAGGATAAAAAGCAGCCGGTTCAGATGGAGAGCCAGGTGTACGAGACTCCAGACGACATCATCCACGGCAGCGGCACACAGGTCCATAAATAACAGCAGAACTGTCTATAATACACTGAAATCAATATGTTTATTCTATCTACGACTAGGCCTGTTACAATAATTACTATATCGACTTTGTTCAGTATTTGATAGATGGAACAATAAACCGTCAAGTGAACGAATTCTAATGCTGCGAGGAGACAGTTTCCACGAAGTGAAACTGGCTGATGAATCAGGCTAATCCACATTAGGCTTAGTCTGTCTGTGGCATATTTAGTTTCAGTATTGGTATCATATTATCATTTATTGTCTATATTATCTTCAGCAATACATCACACTTCAAAATGCTATGGTATGTCCACACCAAATGCGAATCAACCAATCAGGGGCCATGTTCTGATAGTGACGTGTAATGCTGAGACAGATGTGAACTTTCATTCAACATGGAGGAGACACTGTTCCCGTGGGAAACGAGCTGATATTACAGTACAGAGACCGGAATAAACTCCACAGAGCAGGACTTACACCAGACTCTGTCCCCCTCTCCTTTATTCTGACTCGGTCTCCTTTATTCAGACTCGGTCTGGTCCCGGTCTGAGTCCTGGTTTTGGTCCCTGTCTGGTCCGGGGCTTCGTCCCGGTCTGTGATGCCGGACTTTTGCGCCGTATACGGATTGAACCAGGACTAAACCAGGACTGAACCAGGACTAAAATAGGACTAAACAAGGACTGAACCAGGACTAAACCAGGACCAAACCAGGAATAAACTGGCCTGGTCCCAGTCTCAGTCCTGGTCTGGTACCGGCCTGGTCCAGTCTGGTCCCGGTCTCAGTCGAGCTCTGGCCGCAGGCTCCAGAGCTCGGAGCCCGAGCCTTAGCGAGCTCAGGCCGGGCCGTGGGTTCCGAGCTCCGGCTCCGAGCTTGTGGAGGCTCAGAGCCCACGACCGGAGCTCAGAGCCCCGTCTGGTCATGGTCTGGTCACGGTCTGGTCATGGTCTGGTTCCGGTCTGGTTCCAGTCTGGTCCCGGTCTGGTCCAGATCTGGTCCCAGTCATCCTGCTTGATGTAGTCCAAGTCCGCCATCATTCCAAATGAAAACAGATGCAGAGGACACTGCGCAGCCGCAATTGATCCTTTTGGAGCGAACAGAATGGATTTATTCGTGTGACCAAATTCCCAAACTCGAGCGACCAGGATGCGTGAATGAAGCAAATGACTCAAAAAAGTCAAGCGGCAAACTAGGGGCGTTAGATGTGCACATGGATTTACGGTGACAGGCCCATGTGACTCACTGGCACCAATGCATGCATTAAATAGCAGGGATGGTCCTATAGATTTTTACTACTGATACCAAAAATGTGAAGATTTTTAAATGTAACCTATAGCATGGGCCATTAATTGTCAAACTTAAATTCTACTTCCACTGATACAGAAGGAACCAACGGCCTAACTCAGCTATATTTTAACAGTATAGTAGGGATGGGCATTCGATAAAATTTTCTTAATCGATCGTCGGAAGAATTAACGATCGATTATCGATTAATCATTAACGTTTTTATATTAAAATGATCATCATTATTATTACTATCTGCACTACTAATCTGCATAAATAAATTCAACTTTACTACATATAAACTGTAACGACTCTAGAGCCACATCAATACGTTTGACATTATAATGTGTTTAATTCAGTTTGCGCAACTCTCACAGAAATGAAACTTAAAACCGCAGCGTTAATTTACATAAACTAAGCGAAGATAAAACTACAGCTCTTTAGCGCTGATGCGGTTCAACTTCTGTCGGATTAAAAGACATGACTCAGTGGAATACAGGGGTGGGAGGCGGGGACTCGTCATCGTGCTACTCTCACCTGGCAAAGCTTTTTCCCTCTGGACACCGAAACATATGTGCTGCTTTGTACACTGTGCACATGGCCTCACACTTGTCCCGAACGCAACGGAAAGCGTGGAATTTCTTGTACAAATCATAGTTAAATACACATTTGTGCTTCAGTACGTTGCAGACTGACCGACTGCGTCTCGCTCCTTCTGAGTGCAGAGAGACACATGTACGGACCCCTGTTTGGTCACGCTACGTACAGTAACCTACATTCGGGTTGTCGATTAAAATCAACGTAATCGATGAACTTCTTAATGATCAATTATCGATTAATCGACTAATCATGCCCATCCTTAGTATATAGCTTTATCTACACCAGTATATACCTGTATATATTTTTTGGGCAAAACAAGAGAGTATATAACAAATTAGAATCAAAATGATGTGGTTTAACAAATGCGCCTCCTCTACAATTATATAATTGTCTTGGCCCTCTTGTTCAAGTACAATACATACAGTACCTCTAATTGCCTAAACAAAAAGAAAATGTCATGTATAAATTATTGCAACCATCAATTATAACCTTATTATTGTGGCTAAGTGCTGCACTAATGGCCTACTTGCAGCTGCCATATGAGAGTAAAATTACCCAGCACTGAACCAGAGCAGTGACTTTTAATGGGCAAAGACCTCCTCCATAAGAACAGCTGGAGACTGAGTTGTAACTTAATATCACAACAACTTTGACCGATCGAGAGCAAGCTGACAAAACAGGAAAAAAAAAACATAATAGGACAGCTGCAGAACAGAAACTAGATACATCAACAGGTTTTTGACAATAGACTGCAAATTGAGATGGAAGACTATAAAAATATGATTAACTGTAAATAAAAATGCTGGTGACAAATGGCTTCTGAGTGAAGTGGGGTCAGTTGATATTACATTTATATTATATTATGTAGACTGATTATTTTGGCTTCAGGAGATTTTAAATGTAATATGTATTGGTGTAATAACATACAAAATAGATTAATCAATCATCATGCTTCTAACAAACTGCAAATTAACTATACTAATTCATTATTTTGGCTTTACAACAAGGCTACCTAGTAATATTAAAGAAGCTATTTGTGTTGACTGTTAACATATATTATTGAGTCTTTTTTCTTAAAGTCAAAATGGAATTTTGTGTATATACTGACAACACTAGGGGAGCATCTTTTTTACTTGTTTAGTTGCTTTGCCAAAAATTTTCCAAAGTATGGCATTAAACAGATCTATTTTGTGTTTATTCAATTATGACTTTTCATTTGTAAAAACTGCCTTACGTATATACAACTTGGCCTTGTGACATCTCCTGCTTGTCTTCATTGAGATAGATACATTTAATATTGTATTGTGGAACATCTCCATGAAGACAAGCAGGTGGTGGACTCTTTACCAGAAAACATGTTACAAGTGATTTGGTTTGATTTATTTGATGTTGAGTGTTAAAAGTAACATTTGTTCATGGTCCCTGAAAAATGCATAAAAAACTAAAAATAGGAAACTGTTTAAAAAAATACAGTAGATTAATTGTATTAGAATGTATGAAATAGTCATTTGTAGTTGTCATTTATGACTATGTTCTATGGTGTTATTTAATACTATGTTGTATGATTGTTATTTAGAACCTGACACTGCTTTGTGCTTGCAGCTGTTCGACCATGTGGCCGACTGTCTGGGCGACTTTATGGAGAAACAGAAAATCAAAGACAAGAAGCTCCCAGTGGGTTTCACCTTCTCCTTCCCCTGTGCCCAAACCAAACTGGATGAGGTAAACACCAAATATCTCATACATAAATCATTACACAAAATGTGTCATCAAAGAACAAATGATGTGCAACTGAACACATTTAGAATTATGATCTCAATTATTTCTCTGTTCAGTTACAAAAATTTTGTAATTGAAAATACTATTATCTAACAACCAAATTATATGTACCTGTTCTACCTTGCAAAGCCTGAATTAAAGACACTCTTCTAATCTACACAGACTTACACTACACAAGACAGAGATATCATAAAACATAATTGTCATTTAAATTAATAGCCAACTAATTGTTATTATGATTTTTGCCATAATCGAGCAGCCCACGAAGATACATTCTTAGCTATTAGAAATAGTTTGAGAATTTATCTCACCAGAGACTTGTGTGTAATGCAATGTGCAATGTGTTTTCTACCATCTCCGTGGACAGAATACTAAAAATATAGACTTTAATCTGGCCAACATTGTGTCAGTGTAACTTAAAACAGTGCTAGTAAAATGTACTGTTTGCAGGCAGTGTTATTGACGTGGACAAAGAAGTTTAAGTCCAGTGGCGTTGAAGGAATGGACGTGGTAAAGCTGCTAAATAAAGCCATCAAGAAGAGAGGGGTGAGTGGTGTTCACTTGTGTAACATTTGATTATTGTAATGATTGTTTTTTTTGTTTTTAAAGAATAATATGTGTCACAGCCACTTTATTTATTTATTTATTTAATTATTGTTTAATTGAATAGGGACATATACACAAACATAGATTAACAATTCACTAATCTGATGCAGGTGTCACAGTGTTTATAGCCAAGGATAATTCACAACACCAGTCCCCAGAAGGGCTTTTAAAACTGTTCACTAAAAAGCGGTGGGACTTTTGATGAAAAAGCAATAAATACAGTGAATGTATAAAGAGAATCAAATATAAAAATATCACAAACATATAAAGTCACACAGTCACATTGCTGCTGTTGCATGAGCCAGGACTTAGTCTGTTTTGTAAAAGTGTCCAGTCTGGTGAGTCTTTAAGTGAGCAAGTATAGAGCTCCAAAGTTTAGCTCCCTTCACTGTGAAGACAGTCTGAGCAAAAGAAGTCTAACAGAAAAGGACTCGCCCTGTGCTGTGGCTCATGTGGACCTTGTGGACAGTCTGTTTACATATTTATAGAGTGGTTCTAGAACTAAGATGAGTTTTTACATATCTAAAATTAGAGGAGTTATTAAAATTTTAAAATGTGACACTTTGATAAAATTGAACAGTGGTGAAATCTGATGAGAGTTCTGTCTAACATTTTTTAAGTATGACTCAAAACCCGCTCGAGAGGTTTTAAGGTGGTTGGGTTGGTCTGAGACCAAACAGTGGTGCAGCACGACAGCTGAGACAAAATCATGGTATAAACAAAGACACAGGCAGCTTCCTGAAGGACTTAATGCTTGACTCCTTTTTGAATGCAAGGTTATTGACAGAACTTTAAAGTTTCATTGATAATCCAGGGTTATTCCAAAATATTTTTCTTGCTCAACTTGTTCTATGGGTTCACCTTTTATGGTAGTGTTTATTTTGTCTTCTACATGGGTCTTTTAATAGAGAAACAAAGAAATTTTTGTGTTTTTGCGTTCAGTGTCAGACATGATTCATTGAGCCAAACTGACACTTTCTCCAGACTCTGGGTTAATTTGGAGCTGATTGCAGCAGGGCTTTTGTCAGACACATAAACCCCTGTGTCATCGGCGTGTATCTGAAGTCCCACTCCAGGACACACTTCAGACAGATTATTCACATTAAGGCAGAAAAGAATTGGTCCCAGGCGAATGTCTGTCTTAATTTCACATGGGGCGAATTTTACGTTTTCAGTGACCACACTCTCTACCATGCAGATATGATTCAAACCAAGAAAGTGCCTGACTTGAAAAATTGAAAGATGATAATTTTGATAGAAGAATTTACCAAGTTTCCTTTATCCAGAGAATGAACGATTTTCATGTCCATCAGTGGACAGATAGCCAATTCAATTGAATAATTCTGCCTAAAGCTGTACTGTTGTGGACTTAAGTGTTTAGTGAGTTTTTCAGAGACAATTTTTTTCTAATATTTAAGACATCGCAAGAGCTAAGGTTATTGGGCAGTAATTATTGGCATCTGCAGTGTTCCCAGGCTTAAAGATAGGCTTCAATAAAGTTTTATTTTAGGTGTCTGTAAATTTGTTTTTTAGTTCTGATGGAAACATTGACATCATCAGGAAATTTAGAAGCAAGGGCATGCACAGACTGAATACAAAAAATGTGGAATTCTGATTTAAATACACATATCTGCTTTCTTAATTTCTTAAATAGATGCAAGTCAATGTCAAGTCTGGTTTTAAGACAAGTCATGAGAGCAAAATCCCTCTTTTTGATTAACTATTGCACTGCATCATTCACCCATGCTACTGCTATTGCTTTGCATGGAATCTCCCACAGTATGGCATTAAACTTTGAGCTCCTGGAGATATGGAGACTAACTGGTGATGCTAACAGGGCAACAAAAACACCTGAACATCAAAATTATATCTAGGCCTGTTACAATAATTACAATATTGAACCAACAATATGTTTTAGGGCTAAATATTTAGAGGTTTTTGTTATTTTTGTTGTGACATAATAAGATTTGAGCTTCAGATTAGAATAAATAACTGCTACATCTAATTATATGTTAATTCTGCTATTTACTTGTTGCAGCTCAGGCCTTTTAATGATAATGATTTTTTTGTCACAGTGGCACAAAGTTTTAATAATTTCCATAATATTTAATATATCGTGCTTCAAAGTTGGTTATTGTGACAAGGCTAATAATATCTTTAATCGGTTATCTTTAATACCATACTATTGAACATTCCAGGCAAAGAAAAACGGTCTTAGAAGTAAGCATGTTTCAAAAGTCACCTAGTACCTTTAAAGCAGACCTGAGCATTGTACAGCTCCCAGGCCACATATGGCCCTTTTGTTGATTCTGACCTGCCCGTTTAAGCTAATTTGGAATCATAAAACAAACATGTTTTATAATTTTACCTCATGCATGGACTAAAGCTGCATTGCTTTTATATTAGAGGTCTTTTTTAAATTTAATTTTTTTGTAAGGCAACCTAACTGTTTCATTGCTTAGTCGTAACATAAACTCTTACTAGTCTTACCAGCTTGTCAAAACAATGGTATTTATTGCTTTTTTTTTTTTTAAATAAAGAAATATAATTAATATTATGCAAAACTGAGTTAAGCATTTTGGCCCAGCCCTCCACTATATATATATATATAAAACAAACATTTGATAAATGAATAAATGTAAAGTCTACATGCTCATAGTTCATACATTATGTGTGTTTCAGGATTACCAGGCCGACATCATGGCTGTGGTGAATGACACTACAGGCACCATGATGACCTGTGGGTTTGACGACCAGCGTTGTGAAGTGGGAATTATTATAGGTAACAACACAACTGTTTACTATAATAACATTAAACCACAACACGTTCTGAGTGAGATCAGCTTATCTGAGCAGGTCAAGTCAGGTTTTTCATTGTATTAAGACAACAGTATTGTCAACATACTAAACAACCAATTCTAATGATGGCAAAACAATCTGTCCATGTATTAGAGACTTTCACAAGAAAATGTTAGCTAAAAACAATTAATTAGTAGACCTAATCAATACTAATCTGCTATGAAAATAATAGTTTATTCAAAGTAAGATATTTAGCAACACATGCTGTATTTGCAAATAAAACCACAATATACCTACTCTTCATTTTTATTCCCGGCACAATGACTACAGTTTGACAGACGATGGCGCCAAAGTCCAGAGTTACAATACTCATAAGAAATACAAACACACATGCATGACTATGTTTTTCTGACAGGGATAATAATTTAATTTCAAGTGAATTTGAAATTATGTTGCATCAAATTCAACAATGAAATTAAGTCTTGAACAGTGTCAGTCTTGAACACAAGCTTGCTGTTGTGTTTTATTTCAGGTACCGGTACAAATGCATGTTATATGGAGGAGCTGAGGCACATAGACCTGGTGGAGGGGGATGAGGGACGAATGTGCATTAACACAGAGTGGGGAGCATTTGGGGACAACGGCTCCTTAGAAGACATCCGCACAGAGTTTGACCGCGAGATTGACCGAGGCTCCGTCAACCCGGGAAAACAATTGTGAGTGTAAAATTATAACAAGAAAAATATCAAGGAAGTTAGTAACTATAAAAAATATGGTTTTCAGTGAATGTTTCAAATGCTAGTATTCTAAATTCCAACTTAGGGTGCGTTGTTAGTTGGTTCGTCCTGGATTTAGCTCAGTTGAGTCCCAAGTATGAATGCACCCCAAGTTAGACCATAGACAATTTTTTTTAGTGAACCTAAAATCTCCAAACTCTGTGATCCACTGTGGCACCTGGTATTCTCAGTGGTCTCCCAACTAATTACTAAGCAGGTCTGGCCTTGCTTAGCTTCTGAGCTCTGACCAGATCAGACTTTGACAAGGACGTTTGGCCAGATTGAGCCTAATTGGGCTTCTGTTTACTATTGCCTAAAATGTATGTTTATGTAGTAGGTAATAACAGTATGTTGTTTGTGTAAGGTTTGAGAAGATGGCCAGTGGGATGTACATGGGGGAACTTGTGCGCCTGATTCTGGTGAAAATGGCAAAAGAGGGACTTCTGTTTGAGGGACGCATCACTCCTGAGCTCCTGACCAAAGGCACCATCCAGACCAAGCATGTCTCCGCCATCGAGAAGTGAGATAATAAATTCTTATGAGGCTAAATCATAAAATAAGTTGTAATAATTGTAGTTATAGTTATAGTAAGAGATCTACAGTATATTAGCAACAACAAATAACAGACAAAAAATTGGAAAGGTAGGCTGAGAAGTAAAACTATTTGCAGATGTTATAAAACAATGTCTTATGCCACTACCTAAAACCCTTGAAAAAATATTTAAGACTCCCATTCTTTTTGCATATCATATCATATAACTGTACCCAACTGAAATTGAAAAAAGAAAACAAAAATGTGTGAACCTCTGATCCTCTCTCTGTGTTTTAGGTCTAAGGAGGGCCTAAAGAAGTGCATGCAGATCCTGACCAGTCTGGGAGTGGAGCCTTCGGATGAGGACTGTCTGGCCGTGCAGCACGTTTGCACTATCGTGTCCTTCAGGTCGGCAAATCTCATCTCTGCCACTCTTGGCGCCATCCTTCGCCGCCTCAAAGACAACAAGGGTGTAGCCCGGCTCCGCACTACGGTCGGCATCGACGGATCACTCTACAAGATGCACCCACAGTATGTTCAAAACTAACTCACATTTATTATGACTTTTAGTGGATATGACAAAATAAAATGCTTAACTTGAAAACTGAAAAAAAAAAAAAAAAAAGCACAGTGGTGAGTGCCCTTGCTTCAAAACAAGCATGTTCTTGGGATACTCAACCCCAACATAATGTAAGCTAATTCTAATTCACACTCAGCTTATCGTCTATGACAGCAATATTGCACTTTAAAATGTGTTATCGTGACAGGCCTAGAATCAAATTCAATTAATTGCTCAATCCAACTAAATATATATGGATTGCTAATATTGTTTCCCTCTGCACAGATACGCTCGTCGGCTGCATAAAACTGTGAGGCGCCTGGTCCCAGACTCCGATGTGCGGTTCCTTCTCTCTGAGAGCGGGAGTGGAAAAGGTGCTGCCATGGTAACAGCAGTGGCCTACCGCCTCACAGATCAGGCGCGGCAGATTCAGCAGACCTTGGCCGAGTTCAGGCTAAGTAAAGCACAGCTGCTGGAGGTGAAGAAGAGAATGCGGATTGAGATCGAGAGAGGACTGGGCAAAAACACGCACAAAGAGGCTACTGTCAAAATGCTGCCCACGTATGTTAGGAGTACACCAGATGGCACAGGTGAGGAGTGGTCACATTTAGCGTCAAGAATATGATTTTGTCTAATGCTGCATAATGTAACAAGGTATATCAGCTAGCACAATAGGTAACTACAAACCAGGGGTGGAATGTATTTAGAAAAATTGTTGTTGAGGAAATATTAGAATATCGAGTAGTCTGGTCCAAATTACATGGTTTTCCTGAAGATTAATCATTAACCTCTAAGTTAACGATTCAGTTAATTGCACAGCCTTGGCAAAAAGTCAGATTTTAGTAATAACTGTATTTACCTCTAATTTTGCCTCATGTTTAAGTTAAGTTTTCACTATCAAAAAATTATCCAAACATATTGAAATAAGATTGTTATAACAATATGATTTTCTAAACCCATGCAAACCAAGTGCTTGGGTCTTACAAAGATAAAATTAGACAAATAAATCACTATAAAAAGCATAATAAATTTAAGTGATAACCAGGTCAATCAAGTTCACTGGCTGTTTGTTCAGTTTCCAGACACAATAAAACTTGTTATACCTCCAGTTTATAGCTTTATAAGGTGATAGCTTTCAAATGTCCCAGGTTCAGAAAAGGTTGTATATACTTGCTGAGTCAAGCTTTGTGCCTCCAGAAAAAAAATATGAAACTAATAAGCTTTCACAAATAAAATACTATAAAATAAAAAAGTTTGTTAAGTTAAGTTTGTCAACTGATTTTTTTTCTTCATCAGAAAACGGTGATTTCCTAGCCTTGGATCTGGGAGGCACAAACTTCCGAGTGCTTTTGGTGAAGATTCGCAGCGGCAAACGGCGAACAGTGGAGATGCACAACAAAATCTATGCCATTCCCATAGAAGTCATGCAGGGCACCGGAGAAGAGGTGCATTTACATTTAACATCACTTATTTAAACCACTAGGGATGCCGCTATATCAAATTTTTGTTTTATGATTATTGAGAAGATATTGTGATTATTCTAAGTTACTAATACCATGAAAGATAAAGTAGTGAATGTGTCAAAAATAGACAAGTATAAAGCTCCATATTTAGGTTTACTATTTTTTAAATTAGATTCAGATTCAACTGAAATTATTTGCTTCTAAATTTGGCACAATTATTATTTTTTAGTTCTTATGATTACTGAATAATCGCAATTATCATTTAACAGAATAATTTAAAACATATAAAAGTATAATAATCCTAAATGTGATTTTGTGTTATCTGCAGCTGTTTGACCACATTGTGCACTGCATCTCGGACTTCCTGGATTACATGGGGATGAAGAGTGCTCGTCTTCCTCTGGGCTTCACCTTCTCTTTCCCCTGTTATCAGACCAGCTTGGATGCTGTATGATTACTACACAAAATGGAACACCAATTTGGATTTTTGTAATTTGTTATAATAGCAGTAATCAGTTTTGCTCACAATAACAATATAATGCTACAGAAAAATATCCTAATAAATTGTTATACTACAAAACTACATTATACCACTGACAATATAACCATAAAGCAGGATAATCCCAGTAAACATTTTTCACAGTGAACCATAGAATTCTCTGCTAGTACAAAAATAAAGGTACACGTGATATTGAGCCTGAAAAAGGCATTGGTCTTTCTGCCTAGTTACAGCCTTATTAATCTATAAGTAGTAGTAGAAATAATAATTTATTTCATCACTACTGGTGTCACCAACTATTACCAAGCATGATAAGAATATATGATACGATAAGAACACCTTCCAATGGAAAACAACAATACAAAAATCTATGTATGTTTTAAAGTAATGTTATACTTAAAAATGTAAAAAACATAAAAACTGTTCCTCAATAATGTACTATGCGAATACAGTGTATGAAAGTGCTTAGTACTAGTCATTGCCGACTACTTGCATGTTTTAATAATAGTAATGTATTGGATTCATATATACAACCAAAACACAGTGCATTATTCTTTCCCTCCACACTCAGTGGTGGTAAGCTTTAGACCTACAGTCCACTGGTATTCATATTACCTTTGTATTGAAATATAGCTATTTAACAGGCAAATGTCCCCAAACTGTCCCAATAACGAGATGGGGCTTATCCTCCTGATAAACATATTTCAAATGATATTGAATTGAATGATAATGAAATTTTAATTAAAAATCTGAACTCTGCCTGTGTTGTGTTTAGGGGATTCTGGTAACATGGACCAAAGGCTTCAAAGCCACAGACTGTGAAGGTGAAGACGTGGTGGAGCTGCTCAGAGAGGCCATCAAGAGGAAAGAGGTAATCACAGTAATGTTTACTAGTGCTGTGCAAACCATTTAAACTAACTGTGGCTTTTAGTTTTTAGAGTATACTATTATCTAATTCTTTACCTTAATCCCCAGCATTATTCCACTTAACCCCTTGATCATTTTGAGAAATATGACTCCTCACAATACAGATCTAAATAAGTAAAATTGTGCAAAATATGGGGATATCAAATAATGTCTCTACACAGATGAACACTGGGGGCAAAAGCATGCTTCCACCCAATGGATATTCTGTAATGTTGCCATATTTTTACTTTCCACTCTTGTTTCTAATGCACTTTATTCCAACAAAAAGATCTACTTGAGTCCTAATCTTCAAACTGTTGACAGCCTCAAATTTAACCCATTATGTTAACAGTTGCAGGAATTGATAACATTAAAAAAATAAATAAATAAATTCTGTGAAAATGATGCTCATTATATGGCTACATTTGAGGTTTCTATAAATAATAAATATATAGATAATAGATAGAACTTTTAAAATGACTTTTTAAGAAGATTCAAGTCTTGTTCAAGACTAAATCTGGATCCAGATCTAACCAGATCTTAAATAGGACTTAATGAGTTACTACTAGGGGTATGCTAGATCTACACTATAACACAGGACTAAAAATAATAAAAAAAAAATATGGGTTTCTTAAAATTGAGAGCAACATTTATTGTAGATTAATTGAATTATAATCAAAGCCAGATTTTACAATCCTCAATGAAAAAATAGCATCTTTTTAATGGAGATGTCTAGTACAGCCCATAAACAATAAATCCTTGGGGTTTATACTTTTCAGGAAGAAACTGTACTAAATTTGAGAATTAAATTGAAAGCCATTTGTTTTTAAAAGGTAGAGTATATTTTTCTTTTATTTTTTTTCATTTTGCTACCCCTAACTTGAATTCAAAGCTATGTTACAATATTGAATCCAGATTTTATGATTGTAGGTGGAGAACCCTGTAAGTATAAATGGCTGTAAATCATTAATTCCAGGTAAACAAAGCTAAACAAAGCTAAACAAAGCTTGCATTGACATTTGTACAAGAAAACGGCATGAAAAAAATGTTATTTCAAAAATGTATATCTTTCTTATATAAATAAATAGGCGTTTCTATACTGATGAGTGCAACGTGAATGAACTGCATTGTGCTGGGTGTGGAGTTGAAATCGTGCCAAGTTTGATATTAATCTTATGTCATAGTAGTGATTTAAGGTTGACACGTTGCCTTAATGTAATTTTGAAGTGTAACATTACTGACATGGTTTCAATCATCATGCATCCTCATGTGATTATTTTGTCCTCATTTGAAACTACACTACTTGATGGCCTGCCAATTTTTATATTATTTTCTACCAGCAACTCAACACACCTAACCAACCATTTCACTGACATGCCCTGTCTGGTATTGTTTAACATTACAGCCAATGATAGTAAAGTTAATTTGTTTTGACACAGAGATGTTACTATGGGTAACAAATGCATTGAAGAAGATGCATTTTCAGTGTGAATGGGGTCACCTCTATGCACATCTGACCAGTTATTAGGCCTGGTGGCATCAATTGCTTGTCTCCATGGAAATATATACGTTACAGAGTGGATTCTAGGCAAAGCAACAACACCTCCTGGAGACAAGCAAGGGTCAGACCTTGTGCAGATTTAAACTAATACAGTTTATTTGAGGACATGTGTGACCAATCTCCTCCTTGGTCCTCCTCCAGGCTTCCTGTTTCCTGGTAACGCTAACTATACCTACCTTCTATCCATGTACTCACTATCTATCCCTCCATCATTTTCATCTGGAAATCACAACATCTAACATAACCATGTTGCCTCTATTATTCTGACCCATTGTGAATAATGTGTAATGTTTCTGTGTTTTTTTCAGGAGTTTGAGCTGGATGTAGTGGCCATAGTGAATGACACAGTGGGGACAATGATGACTTGTGCTTATGAAGAGCCAACATGTGAAGTCGGACTCATCGCAGGTGAATACAGTTACAGAGTTTTCTATATTTATGCAGTTTATATTTAGGCCTGAGCACCACAAGATGGGAGGGACTTCTTGATAGCGTACAGCGTAAGTGTGAGCACAGTGCAATATAATATTAAAAACTGATCAAAAAAACAAAACAAAAAACTGCACAGGGTGCCAGCCATGTAGCCATGTAGCCAGAAGACCAGCCAATCACTCCGTTGCCATGGGAGCCACCATTTTTAAATCTATAGGACTGTAGGCTATCTACCATCCTTTTAAAAATAAAAGCACCTCACAAGCTGTTCCTTGTATTGTTTAGGAACGGGCAGTAATGCGTGCTACATGGAGGAGATGAGAAACATTGAGATGGTGGAGGGGAACGAGGGGCGGATGTGTGTGAACATGGAGTGGGGCGCGTTTGGGGATAATGGCTGTTTGGACGACATCCGGACCATCTACGATCAGTCCGTGGATGAGAACTCACTTAACGAGGGCAAGCAGAGGTGAGAATCACCTTTTATATTAAATTAAATTAGAATTACTATGATATTAATAAAGTATAGCTTTATCTATCTATTTCATGTATAAAGACACATGATTTGAGTAATATTACTGCTCTCCCTTAGATTTCAAGATTAAATTTTTCTACCAATTCTAGTTCTAAGTATCCTGATTTAGTTCTTGATTACGGATTAGCAATACTGGAATAATGACAAAGCATTATAAAATATAAACCGTTGAATTAATACAAATCAGAATACGGTAGCAAAAATCTAAACAGGTTTTACACAACTGAATCATTGTCACTAAATTAGAGATAACTGCAATAAATACTAAAAGGTAGACTTAAAAGAAGATATATTAGTTTTTTCTGGTATTCACTATAAAACTATAACATAAAATGCAGTTTATATTTTTACATTTTTTTCACAGCAAACCACAATATTAACCTATAAAGACTTAAAGGATTTTTTTTTGCCCAACACCGTTATAACATGGTTAGAAGCTGATGAAACTCGATTTTATATGATAGAATGAAAGTAATGTGTGTGATATAAAGCCTGTGTCTGGTGTGCGTTTCAGATATGAGAAGATGTGCAGTGGCATGTACCTGGGAGAGATTGTCAGGCAGATTCTGATCGATTTGACCAAACGAGGATTCTTGTTCAGAGGGCAGATCTCAGAGACACTCAAGACCAGGGGCATCTTCGAGACCAAGTTCCTATCACAGATCGAGAGGTGAGACTTTAGGACTAAAAAACACAAAACAAACATAGAAACACATATTTATACTAGTTACATAGCAGCCAACAACTACTGCACTGAACAAAGAAAAATGCCAAACTTTAAAGTGTAACAATTTATAGTGGATAAATTCCTGTTAAAAAGAATAATTAGACTTCTTTAGTAGAGGTACAAGTGTCATGATAACATTAAATTATTTGAATTCTAAACACCAAGAGGCCAATTATTTAAACTTAAATTTGTTTCCTAACTTCTAATATAAAAAAATGCCTTAACACAATCCTATAACCCTGAGTACTGATCTGTGTAAACCAAGTGTAAGATTTGTATGTGTATAGATATGGAAGCATGGTGGGAAGAGATCACCATCTACAGTTAATATAAAATATGTTAGTGGTGACATCCACCATCTTTGTGGGCACACCATATGTCTGCACAGGTGCATTAGCTAAAACTATATAGAAAGTATATGCTTAGTGCATTTTGAATCTGTCACAGTTTTTGTACAGCCAACATATAATCATCATGTCACGACTCTTGGGAGGACAAGAGAGTGGGTGGACATAAAAAGGAGATTTATATATATAGGTTTTGTACACTTTGTTTTTATTATTGTAAATTTCAAGGAATTTTAGAGCTATTTATTTATTTGATGTTATTGTCTGTGTAATCCCTTAGTTGTCCACATACATTCTATAAGGCCAGTTGTCCAGTTTACAGAATTACATTTTCTTTTGCTATTTGGTGTTACTGAATGTATGAAGTGTGCTGATAATTGTGGGAGCAGTTGTCTATAGAATTTCCTTTGGCATTAATAATGTTCATGTATGTATCTAAATACAAATACATATATATCTAAAGACACACGTTTTATCTTTATTTCCATGACTGTTTACATTGTAGATTCTCACTGAAGGCATCAAAATTAAGAATGACACATATGGAATATAGTAACCAAAAAATAAATCGTTTTAGATTAAAAACATTTAAAAAATTGCCACCCATTGCTTTAATCACAGGTTTCCACTTTTGGCATTTCTTGACCCTGACAAGCTACAGCTGTGAAGTGAAAACTATTTCAGGAGACTTCAACTCGTAGCTCATTCAGAAAAGACCAAAGGTTAGCAGCACTGTCTATAGAGCAAAGACTGGCTATTCTGAGGATTTGAATATGAAATGTAAAGCGATTTATTAAACTTTTAATTTTTGCTATATAATTCCATATATCTTGCTTCATATATTTGAAGTCTTCTGTGTGTATCTAAAACGTAGAAAGCAGTAAACATAAAGAAAACATGATGTTCGAACTTTTGACAAGTGTATATTGTTGGTGAGTCAAAGTATATTGTGATACCATGTAATCTAACCTCTCTCTCTCCCTCTCTCTGCTCAGTGACCGTCTGGCCCTGCTCCAGGTGAGGGCGATCCTGCAGCAATTGGGTCTGGACAGTACGTGTGATGACAGTATCATCGTGAAGGAGGTGTGTGGCACCGTGTCTCGACGTGCCGCTCAGATCTGTGGAGCCGGAATGGCCGCTGTGGTCGACAAGATACGAGAAAACAGAGGCCTGGAGCACCTGGATGTGACTGTGGGAGTGGACGGGACGCTCTACAAACTGCACCCACAGTAAGACACAGATAATATTACAACTATAGTTGTCAAAAAATATATAATTACACTAAAACTGACTAAAAGGGGGCATGCAATGACAAAACTATAGCTAGCTCACTCTATGATTTCTCCTTTTTGTGTGGTCTACATAAATCCTTATAATTCTAATAGAATAATTAATTAAGTAATAAACATTAGGTTGATTAATGGTTAGTGGGTAGTTAAAGGTAGAGTGTATAGCCTGCGATATGTCTGGATTAAAATAGAAAGCACAATCATAACAGAACCTGGGTTGCCAGCATTAACTTGCATATAGAGGGCACATACAAGGTTTTCTCATTCTCAGTATACAGGCAATGGCTCATGTAAAAGCTTAATAATTGTTAAAAATCAAGTACAGGCTCTAGAAAGGAGCCATATGTAGTCTGTATCCTTGGTTTAAAAAAGGAAGGAAGAACTGAATGTGGGTTGCCGGTGCCTTAACATGTCCATGGCCATGCCCCATGTGTAAACTCAGAACCTCCAGAATTCCCTCACTGAACTACAGAGGCTGCACTAGCACTGATTCATGACTGGCAACTGCAGGTGCTGCAGTTTCAGATCAGAATGAGTCCTTTTTAGGTTTTAAACTGCTGGATTTCAGCACTGAAACTGGCAAGCCAAATGGGAAATGCGCATGAAGAGCATTCTGCTATTTGATTGAATAATTGTTTTGAAAAATAAAACACTACATGAAAAAATCTATAACGTGGCCATCACATCTAATATTTTAAATCAGCATTGCAACCGTTATCTGTAAGAGCAATATTTCATTTAAAGATAGATACAAGATGAGTAATGCTTATTAAATTTTACATAAAAATGCTCCATACATGGGTCCAGTCAAGCGGTAATGGAGGGAAACGGGCATATTTTTTACATTCAAATAGCTCTTATTCAGAAACTAGAGGGACTATTGACATAAGTAAGGTATCAGAATGTAGCCAACAGGGTAAAGTTAAACCTGCGATATTCTTTCAAGTTGTTGACAAAAAATTTAAAAACTCATGTCGGTAACGGAGGGAATGAAATATGCAGCTCTTTTTAGGCAATAAATACAAACAGTGATAACTACCGGCTCTCACTTACATATTCTTAACAAACTGGTTTGAATATTTGCTTAATATAGTTTTATACCATATGGTATAAGATTAGGTTGAAAAACCTCTCACTCGTAATGAGATTTTTTATTAAGAAAGGTCATGGTAACAGAGGGAAAATTGTGCAAAGAAGTAGAAGGTGCATGATTTTGCATAATTTGTCATCTTTTTTCTTCCGAAAACTTTAATATGACTTCCAAATGAAAGGTAACTATTTCTATAAAATATGTCAGTCCTTCCAAGCAAATTTTTATCATTTTAAATATTTTTTTTTGAAAAATCATATACCTTCATCAACAGTTCAAAGATCGAATAACACAAGATATGATGAAATACATCAATTTATTTACATGATTTGCAGGTCTTTGAAATTTGGGAAATAATTTGTGTTCCATGTTGCACACATGGTATATTTAAAATGTATGTAACTTTAGAACCAAAAATGGTACAGAAAAAAGGTAAACAGTTTCATAAACTAGAGTACATATGCTATCTGTTGAATACATTTTTATATCAGATGCATTAACTTGAATTTTTGGCCTTATACTTCTGCTTGACCGGGCCCACATACCTTTCAGTTATTCTCCCCCCCCACCTCTCTCTCCCTCTCTTTTTCTCTCTTCTATAGTTTTTCGCGGATCTTCCAACAGACGGTGAAGGAGTTGGCCCCCAAATGTGATGTGACGTTCCTGCTTTCAGAGGATGGGAGCGGGAAGGGGGCGGCTCTGATCACTGCAGTGGGCTGTCGCCAGAGAGAGCTTGATGCACAGCAACACTGAGGACTTTAAATACACTACTATAACAATTACTACTGTCTCAATGTCTCCCAATAGGACCCCTACCCAAAAGTTTAACCCCCCCACCACCCTCACCAAGGCTACAGAATATAACAAAACACCTGTCATATGCTATATTTAAGTTGAAAATGTGTGATAAACAGACCTTTTTTACATGGTAGGAGTTAAGTTACACTAGGAGAGTTTATCTACTATATTACTATAAAAATTGTGTCAATATTGAAAGAACAAAAACAGACAAGGCTGACAATGACAAAATAGTCAGACCCTCTACCACAAAAGTGATGTAAAGTACCATTAACTTAGGACATGAGTATTAAACCAGGGCTAAACAAGACTAAAGTAGGAGTGGAAAACCAGGACTATGCCAGTCTTTTTCAGATCTAAACCAAGCCTGAATCAGAACCACAATTATGACACAATTGCAACATGAATTAACATAATGATTGGTTTCACAGTTGAAATGATCGTCAGATTCAAATGATAAGACTGATGATATATATATGATATATTAAATGATTCATATTGTTATATTACGCAGCCTGTATTTCCAATGTGTTTTCACCTTCACCCGCTGCTGCTGTATTTCTTCCACGCGCACATGATCCATCACGGCCGTGACTCCGTGCCCTGCTCAGAGAGACATGCTGCTTTATACAAGATTATTCAGTACAGTGATCTGCAAAAGTGTACGCCCTCTAGTGGATATATTATATATTGTGCAAATTTGTCGCACTAAAACGCTATAATCCAATTTTTTTTTTGATGCAATATAGGAGAAATGGTAATAAAAGTTATGTTAAATTGCCTAATAACAAACTTACATGATCAGAAAAACTGTCAGAAATACTACTAATAATAGGTGCACTATGTAACCTTCCTGGTGGGGAGCATTACCCTACTTGCCTCATTGGAGATATTATTGCTTTGTCTGTAAAGTTGCACAGTATGGCAGCATTGTAAACTTAATGTTAAAGCAATAACAACTCCAAGGTGACATGCAGATGACAGACCCTCCACCCAACAAACTTAGTGCACAATAGTGCACCATTAAATAAGTATTACTATTCTGTATGCAATTTTTAGTTCTTTTTTTAGTTCTTCTTTTCTTTTTTAAATATAAAGAGACAAATTTTGTAGTCCTTAATGCAGCAAGGGTTAAACCTGTCAACAGCAGTGGATCAGATAAGAGCTAGGATCTTGGTCAGGAGTCCCTAGATTGAGAATATGTCTCTTGTTGTGCATAATATTTTAGTTTTTTGAGGATAACTAAAATGCCCACTTGACACTCGGGGAACATGCAAACTCCACAAAAAGGCCAGAGAACTGAATATGGGAGCTACTTGTTGCTGACTACTCACTCAGCAAAAGTATTTCATGATTGCAACAGTGTGACAAATACGCCAAAATATAAGAGAACCAAATGGGGCAATACTTTTATCACCACTGTAGCTAAAGTCACTATTTATTTATTGCACCTTTATTATCTTGTTTGTACATTTCCTTCACTGGGCTTGTTGATAATCACATGACTACTAGGTGTGCAATATGTGTGTACTGCTAATATTATTTTTATATGGAGCCAGATACTGTAAATGTATTTATACAGTACAACAGTACAACAGTACAAATGAGGCCTGAGTTGTGGTTTTCAAATGGTGGGAAAGAGCTGAATTTCTATTTATTTACAAGATAAGAAAACATTTATTTATTTACTATTCGTTAAGCAATATTAATGCTATTTCACAATAAATAACACATGTATAAAGATATGTCTCACCATTTCAGACAATCACAATTTAAACTTTTAGTACCGGTCTTGACCCACTATTTGGAAATCACTTACTGCTCAAGAGCTTATAAAGTAGAAAATACCTGCACTTTTTATATATATATATGGGAAATTTAGGCCAAGCAGCATTGTAATGTATTCTTCTAGGTAGTTCAAAAAGGTCTCAAACTCACAAAAAGGCTTGAAAAGTCGAGTCACGGCTGATAAAATTCATTGTTCACGCGATTCGCTAAAGCTACTGATGCCTCTTTGTGTCACTGTCACTGTAACTTCCACTACTGAATACATGGACAAAGGAGGGTAGAGGAGAGGGGAAGAGGAGTATTTTTTTTTTTACCTCAAAATAATATTACTCAAGTGGAAGTAAAAGTAGGTAAAATGTGAAAAAAGCTACAAAAAACTATTTACTATTAGTAAACAGTTTTGACAAATCATTCAGTTGGTAAGCTTGGTGCTTTCAGTTTACATGAGCAGTCTTAAAATATCGGCTATTGTTATAGTAGAGGCCAGCCTGTCTGGATTATGGTGTTACCAGTTATTACTTATTAATTCAATAGACTCTAATAGTAAAAAATCCAAAAATAATTAAGTGAAGGAGTATGCATTTAGAAATCACTTTTTTTCACAGTGCACACAATTTGAATATATGTGAAATTTACATGTAGGTAGAATAGTTTAGAAGTAGTATCGACTATTGTTACTTCAAATATATTATAATGTAACAAATATTACTAATTTACATTTATTTATATTCAGTAGACAAGTAAATGTAAATTACTAGTAGTAGTCAAAAAAGTGTTTTAAAAAGATATTGGACTTAGAAAGTAGAAATATTGTGTTACAACTACTACAACTACAAATGTTATTTTAAAACAATTCACTCAAATAATTGTAACTCATCACTATCCTCCTCTGTCCATAGTGCACTCCATACTGCTTCACCCATTTACAGAGGTAGAACAAAAAGGCTCTATAGCGGAGGTATTTTAGCGTATTATTAACCTGTTACTAATTGTGAATTTTTGATGTTGTGATGGCGTCCATTACTTCTTCTACTCATTGTAAACGTGCAAAATAATAAATTGAGCCCCCTTGTGTTGAGCGGAAATTTGAGTGCTTTTGTTGTGTTTTTGTGGCTGGGTGTCAAGTGTGTCTTTCTGTAACAAAACCTGTAGCTTTTAAATGTCCAGGTCTGTGGAGAATGCATGCCTTACATTAAGATGAAGGGGAGAGATTGGTCCTCAAATTTCCTTTTTTTATTATTATTATTATAGATTTGTGACAGACAAAAAGTGTACTCATTAAATTATTTTCTTGTGGAGAAAAAAAATGTGTCTTTTTCTTCTCAAAATAATGGGGAAAAATATAAGAGAAATTTGACTATGTAAGTGCATTGCATTTTAAAATAGAGAACTAATGTTTTGTACCTTAGATTTATATAGGTCATAATAATGAGACATGCTTTGAAATAAAAGGGTGGCATGTTTAGAGGCCAGTGGATTTTTTTTTTTTTTTATGTAGATAATATTGTAAATGTTGCTCTGAAGAATTTGAATACCAAGTATAATTACACATTTCATAAAATGTCTCTTATAACCATAAAAAGGGTAGAAAGTGATATTTCTGAACATTTGTTGGTAGTACAATTATTTAATTTGTCTTATACTTGCACCTCACACTGCAACTGCTAAATAAACCAAATACACTAATTAATTCATTTAAATACACATTTTATCTTCATCATCATTTAGCATCATAATATTGTTACTGTAATACTCCCAAAATATTGAGATATTATTTTTGTTCCCTAGCCATGGTCAAATTACTATAATTCGTATGCCATTCCCAAATCCAGCACAGACAGAGGTAACTGCAGCCATGGCGAGTGAGGTGTTTTGCCCAAGGACACAACAATTGAATGTATCACACCAGAGTCTCTGTAAACAGACCCTTAAATCAGGTGATATTGCACACTACTACGTGAAACTGGGCTTCTTTATTCTAGTATCAAATTACTGTCCTGTACTGTGTGGACTAAAAATATTGTTTCTAATTATCCTTGAGCTCAGCACAGCTTTACACTTAAATAAATAAAAAATAATAATAATAACTCAATAATCTTTCATTACCTATGAGCTGTAATCAGTTGTTTAGGGACTGTACATGTAAATAGTCAACATAGTTTTAGTAGTATGTTCTTGGCACTCGGTGTGAAGTAATTTCATACACACTTCAAAAAATGCATGAGCAGCAGCGGAATTCAAACCTGTCATACCACACTGGCATTAGGTAGATGCTACATACATTATAATTATCACACCAGGGCATCTTCCAGCATACAACTGTGTTTTACTTCCTCACTACTAATTAACCTTAACCTTAAAACTACAAACAAAATATGTGCAAATGAAAATTGTGGTATACTTGATTGTGTCTTATATTGTTATTAGTTATATACTGCAATTCTTATGTGTATATTTGACTTCTTAAGTCTTGAAGAATAATTTTTTGCTTCTGCAAGAGGCTGTTATAAAAGATCTGAGGAAAATTGTTAAGAGGAGACCTGCAAACCATTTTAAATGCCATTGCACAAATACAACAACAAATCTGTCTGGACAAAAATAGTTAAAATTATTGAAGATAATTGTTTATTATTTTTTTTAGGCTGAAATGTGTTTTTAACAAAAGGGAGATTTGTTCTTGTATTATTAAAATTGTATTATTAAAAAGGAAAATATATGTTGTGTTTTAGTATAGCAAGTAAGAGAACTGCATGCTTGTACTAAATTATGTGATTTCAGAAACATTGCTTGAGTCTCAAAAGTGTGTTAACATGTATGCGAGTAAAAATAGTATATTACCTGATATGTAATTTCTGAAAGGTTACATTGTTCAAGCAAGATTGGCAAAAATGTGTTCTTTTTGAAAAATCCCTGTTTCTTTTAATACAAGAATTAAAACCTAAATACCAAACCTTCAAAAATAATTACAGTTTTTACCTTAGACAACCTCATTCTTCAATAGACGAATAGAATCGCATCTTAAATCTGTGGAAATAATAAAGTATTGATCAACAGCTTCACAAACCAGGGTCATATTCTGTAATTATCAAAATCTTTAACAGCACAGAGAGATTTAATGAATGTATCTTGTTTAAACTCAATTCAATTGCGAAAATTTGGTGAATTCATGCTTTGTCTCATGTTTAATAAGCAGCAGAAGAGTTAGGATTTTTACTAATTAGCAGTCTACTAACATACACACTATGGGTAATTCAATGACTCAACTTGTTGCTGTTTTTTTATACCAATGTTCCTAAGATATTACCTCCTCATAATTTTTTTGTGTTATATTACTGCGAAGGAATAATGTTATTGTAAAAGTGAGTTAGTACATGCCACATTTAAAATAGATAACATCTGGGACCTAATTCCACCAGAACATTATAAACAGGATGTATGGGATGTACAGGGCCACAAAAATCTGGTGTCTGTCTCTAGAGAATAGCATATACAGGAGCTTAAAAACAGGATGGAGGCTATGAGGGTCAAACATATTCCTCAAAACTACATATTGAGTGTGTGTATATATATATATATATATATATATATATATATATATATATATATATATATATATATATATTAGTGCTGTCATGCGATTAAAAAAATTGAGATTAATTAATTATGATCTGTAATTAATTCAATCTAATTAATCTCATTTTAATCTCACCTAAAAATTGCTGAAAAAATACTTCAATTTGAGGTATTTTCATTTAAATTAATTATTACATTATTGTGGCAGATCAAAAGACTGATATAGATTAAAAAAAGTGACTTTATAAAGTAATTTATTGTTTAACAAATCTGTCCAAATTGGCTGTTGAGCCCAAGTCTCCATGAATAAGAAACTGTTTGCTGTAAAGTAGCAAAGACGAGGAAATCTGAACATAATAACTTTTGTCTACTTAAAGACAATAAAAAGTCCAGTCTTTCCTTAACCATATTAAAAATATTATTCATAGAGAAAAAATGCTTTATATATGAAATCACTGGTTTTAATCCTTGTTTTAGTCCTGGTTTAGACCTGCTTTAATCCTAGTTTAGTCCTAGTTTAGTCCTGGAATGGATAATCCTGTTTTAGTCCTGGTGTTAGTTCTGGTTTAGTCCTGGTTTAGACCTGGTTTAGGCCTGGTTTTAGTTCTGCTTTTAGTTCTGGTTTAATCCTGGTTTAGTCCTGGTTTAGACCTGGTTTTAGTTCTGGTTTTAGTGCTGGTTTAGTCCTGGTTTAGACCTGGTTTAGACCTGGTGTTAGTTCTGGTTTAGTCCTGACTGGGTTAGTCCTGGTTTTAGTCTTGGTGTTAGTTCTGGTTTAGAGGCGCACAGGAGGAAGCGCGGTTTACGCCGCGTATGCGAGAAAACACGATCCACACGCGGCGCACGGGAGCACATCGGTGTCCGCGCAGTGTCTACGGAAGGAAACGTGGTCCGCGCGTTCTCAGGTTGATGACGATGATGAAGGTGTGTGTTTGTTTGTGTTGTGTGTGTTATAGGACAGTAGTGCAGACATCATGAGCCTATGCAGGTACACCTCATCTAATGTATATGAATTGATGTTGCTCAGATATCAACTTTCTCTTTGTGTCACTTATTTTTCTTCTCTTATAACTCATGCACAGTGGAAAAATCCTGCATAGGAAAGAGAAAATGGTATATTACGCTAAAGCGTAATTGATCCTCGTTTTAAGATATATGCTTTTACATGATATTGTACAACGTTATCAGACTCTCCATGACTCTGCTTCTTTACTGCTCTAGTAGAACGAAAAGTACGATTCTAATCGTCCATGATTGCGACTGTAGACGCCACGCTCAACTGACAATAAAGTAGAAACAAAGAACAGTTCTACAATCGTTGTATTACTGAGACGCATAGGGATGTTTTTAGTAGAGTGCGAGTGTCTCCTTCAAAATTGAGTAAGATGTCTAGTAAGTTACCGAAATATTAGAAAAAACCAAAGTATATAAAAAAGTGTGTCTGAGTGAGTTGATCGTGATAGCTGAGTAGTGTGGTTAGTCTTGTTATATAGCTATCCTATTAAATAACAACTCCATTAAACAAAAATCAGTATATTCTGCTATATACACTTTCAAGCACTATAGTGTCAGCGAATTATTACAAGTGGACCTCACTTATAAATATTACGGATGTTGTAAAATTTACGAACTAATATCAGAACGTATAGATCGCGTTGCTCGATTTTGAATATAGATTACTCTCTCTTTATAAGTTCGAACATTTAATTGCGTCATATTTAGTAGTGCCGCCCGAGAGCTCTCTTTGGTCAAGTATGTGATCAATGCTGAGAATACACGAGTTAGCAATTTTTATCGATACTCCTAGACTCAAATTTTTCACGACTTAGGTGCTTCTTTTATACAATATCAACTATGTTAACTATCTCTCCCATGTTTATAGATCCTTTAGTTAAGCATGTGTGAGAAATATACATCTATTTACGTTGGAAAATAAATAAATAAGATACATTAAATCTATAGTAATTAAAAGTTACTCGTATCATGTAGTGTGATATAGAATAAAACTATGATAACATTTTTCAAAAATAATGATTGTATCCTGACCATTTACTACTAAATAAAGTAGATGAGATAAAGTCATGTACAACCACACACTATCGTACCCCAGTCTATTGTATATTAGTAATTTCTTAATTCTCCAGCATCTCAACAATTATTTGTGAATAGCATAACAACTTTAATAATATGCCCTTAATTCTCGTTACGGTCCGAGTCCAAATCATAGCATAATTGTAATATGTCCATGGTGTGAGTGACTCGATTAATGATCTCTTAATCTACATAGCTACACAATAGTAGCACAGGGTATCAACTCAACTTTGTGAACAATGTTAGGGTCCCTTAAGGTTAATCCGTTCTGATCACGTGGCCTGGACAGAAATGAAATAGAAAGAGATGCATACGACTTTGTTTGCTAGTATGATATAAAATGTTCGTAGTTTTAAATAGATAAAGATCTTATCTCGACGCCCTCATAGTACTATTGTACACTCATAACTGTCAATGCGAA